ATTTGTCGAACAGACGATTCTTCACCCATTGAATGATTTTGGCACTGTTGTCAGTAAACAATTGGCCACAAAATGTAAGGGCTTATTTCTGGGCTCTCTGTTTTATTCCATTGATCTGTGCTTTCCTTATGCCAGTACCACACTGTCTTGATTACTGTAACTTTGTTAAGTGAGTTTGAAATTAGGAAGTGTGAATCCTCCATGCAGTGATTCTTAACCTTTTCTTTGGGTTACAGAAACTTTTTTGTATCTTATAAGAAACTACAGACCAAGGGATTTGTACATAAATATATATAACATTTTGTATAGCGTTTATTTTGTTGGATTGGAAATTTGTAGTCTTTTCAGTTAAAAAAGTATCTTTTAAACAATTAGCATATTCATATTTTGCTTTCTGGAAAAATGAAGTAAATTCAAATTGGACAAATAGTTAAAAAGTAAATTTCAGTTCTACTCAAAAGCAACTTGTAATTACTTATTTAGTTACATGAATTCAATATTCAAACGATAATATGTTGTTTTTTGACATCTCGTTAGTTTTGACTTTTTGAGTTTACAGTAAGAGCCCTACTCAGACTCTCAAAGACCTTATGGTAGTAAATGTATTAGAGTTCTCCCAAGTGAGAGTAGGCTTGTTTTGGGGGTAACCAGAACTTTCTGGTTTATTGCTTTTGATATCCTGTTGTAATTATTAGATTAATACATTTTAAGATTTTTTTGTTTGCTTAATTTTTACATAGTTGTAGATAGAATTTTACCCTTTGAAGTATTTTTATTGTGGAATAACAATCGGAAAAAGTGTCTTAACTACAAATCTACAGTTTAATGAATAATTATAAAATATTCACCCATGTAATAGCAATCACAGCCAGGCTCAATCTGGTGCTTTGGGAGGTTGAGATGAGTGGATTGCCTGAGCCCGCGGGTTCGAGACCCGCCTGGGCAACTTAGCGAGACCTCATCTCTACAATAAATCAAAAAATTAGCCGGGCATGGTAGCGCGCCTGTTGTTCCAGCTACTTGGAAGACTGAGGCGGAAAGATCACTGGGGCCCAGCAGGTCGAGGCTACAGTGGCTGGGTGACCGAGAGACACTCAAAAAAAAAAAAAAAAATTAGCAATCATCCAGGCTCCAAGGACATTCCTCCAGGTCACAACTCCCAAGGGGAAACCAGTCTCCTATTGTTATGATCCATCTATTTCTCGCTTCTCTTTATAGTTTTATTATCTCTAAACACTATAATTCAGCTTCCCCTGTTTTTGAATTTTATGCATAAGTAAAATATACTATATGTGTTTGTTTTTGGCTTTTAAAAAAAATTCATTGTTTAGAATTGGCGTGTTTGCATGTGGCTATAGTTCTTTTATTTTCATTGCCATATAGAATTCTTGAGGATGTACTGTAATTTATTCATTTTACTGTTTATAGACTTTCCAAATAATGAGTTCATAAGCATTTCTGAATAGGTAAGTATCCTGGTGTACATGTGCATGAGTTTCTTTAAGGTGTGTTTACCTACAAGAGAAATTACTTGGTCATAGAATATATGATTCTTCAGTTTTGATGCAAAATTGTTTTACAAAATGACTGTATAAAATTATACTTCAGTCAGCAGCATTTTAAAGTCCCTGTTCCTTTTGCTCCACATCTTCTCCAACGTTTGGTATCATCTAACTTTTTGGTTTTAGCTGGTCTGGTGAGTATGTTGCTATACTTTACTATGCTTTTAGTTTCTATTTCCTCCAGTTATTTGTGAGGTTGCACACCTTTTCATGTGTTTCATGTATGTGTCAGCCACTTGCATTTCCTTTTATGATATACCTATTCAAGTCTTTCGTTCATTTTTCTATTAGGTTCTCTTTTTTCTTATTGATTTGTGGAAGTCCATTATATTTTGGGTATGATTCCTTTAGTAATTATCTGTATTGTGATGCCTTCTGCTAGACTGAACTATCATTTCACTCTTTACAGTTTAATGAAGAAGTTATTTTAATATGGCTGAAGTTGCCAGTTTTTTCCCTTATGGATGGTACTTTTTATGTTTGATTAAGACAACCTTTTCTGCCACAAAGACATAGAAATATTTTTCATGTTACGTTATACAACCTTTGTACTATGTCCTTTTGTGTGTGTTTAAGTTTATGGTCTAGTTTGGAATACATTTTTATGTTGTGAGATAGGTGTCTAATTTCATTTTGTTTCCCTTACAGATATATAAAAAGTGTCCTGAACCTTGTATTGAAAAATCTATTCCTTTTGGGTGCTCTTCAGTGCCTTCTGTGTTGTACATAAGTGTCCACATATGTCCACATATACAGGGATCTGTTTTGGGGCACTGGCATCTGTTCCATATTGCCTTGATTCCTATAACTTGAAAATAAGTTTTGATAGCTGGTGGAGGTTGGTGGGGCGAGCAGTTTGTTGTTTGTTTTTTCTAAGAATACCTTGCATATTCTTGACCCTTTAGGTTTATGTATTGATTTTAGAATCAGCTTGTCACATCTCGATTGGGATTAAATTGAATCTCTATATAAATCACTTTGAGGACAATTACTATCTTTACATTATTGAACTTAAAATATGTGATCATGGTGTGTCCCTCCCTTTATTTATTTATTTAAGTCTTCTTTAAAGTTTCTCAATAATGTTTTATACTTTTTCTTAAAGACTTGCATAGTTTTTGTTAGATTTATTCCACTGTGGTCAACATTTTTATGCGGTTGTACATAGTGTTTTATTTTACTTTTTAGCTTTATATTGTTGGTAAATGAAATATGATTACATTTTATCTATTACTATCATATCTAGTAATCTTTTTATTGATTCTTAAAATTTATCTATAGATTATTTTGCATTTTCTGCATGTATAACTGTAGCATTTGCAAATGACAGCCTTGTCCTTCTTTCCCAATCCTTATACTTTCTTTCTTTTTTCTTTTTTTTTTTTAGAGTCAGGGTCTCACTGTTGCCTGTGGTGGAGTACAGTGCCACGATCACAGTTCACTGCAGCCTTGACCTCCAGGGTTCAGGCGATCCTTCCACCTCAGCCTTCCAAGTAGCACAGGTGTATGCCACTACATCTGGCTAATTTTTAAAAAATTATTTGTAGAGACAAAGTTTCGCTTTATTTCCTGGCGGTCTTGAATTCCTGGCCTTAAGCCATCCTCCTGCCTCAGTCTCTGAAAGTGCTGGAATTACAGCGTGAGCCACCACGCATAGCCCCAATCCCTATACCTTTTAATTCTTTTTCTTATTTTACTCTACCAAACTCAATCCTGAACACCACAGTGTTCACCAGGAGTCATACTGTCTGGCATTCTTGCCTTGTTCTTAATTCTTTTTCTTTTCTTTTCTTTTCTTTTTTTGACTTGGAGTCTCACTCGGTCACCCAGACCGGAGTGCAGTGGCCGATCCCGGCCACTGCAGCCTCACCTGCTGGGCTCCGGCGATCCTTTTGCCTCAGGCTTCCAAGGAGCTGGAACTACAGGCTCGCGCTACCACACCTGGCTAATTTTTTATTTATTGTAGAGATGAGGTCTCGCCAAGTTGCCCAGGCAGGTCTCGAACCCGCGGGCTCAGGCAATCCACTCACCTCAGCCTCCCAAAACGCTGGGATTACAGGCTGAACCACCGAGCCTGGCCTGTTCTTAATTCTTAATCTCAAAGTAACTGCTTTCATGTTATTTACATAGGATTTTTTTGAAGTACCATTTTCCAGATTATGGAAGTATCTTTTAAGTTTGCTAAGATGCTTTGTTTTTTTAATCCATAAGTAAATGTTAAATTGTATCAAATACTTGTCCAGTATCTTTTTAAATGGTCATAAGATATTTTTCTTTAAATTTATTAATGTGTAATGAGCTTCAATGATTAAGACTCTCAGCATTAAAAACCATCTTGTACTCCTGGTATAGACCCAACTTGATATTTACATGTTTACTCATAAGTGAGAGTTGACCTATAGTTATCCTTACCAAGTTTTGGCACCAAGGTTTTGCTGTCACAAATTAAAGAGCTAGTAAGTTCATTTTATCATGCTTTCTAGAGCAAATTTGATGTGAATATTAAATAATTACTTATTCCTTGAATATTTGATATAACTTACTTGTGAGTTCATCTGGGTTTGGAGTTTTCTCTAATTTTTTAAAAATTACTTGCTTGAGACAGAGGGAGAAAAAACAGACAAATAATACTAAGTGATATTTACAGGATATCCAAATAGTCTATTTCTTCATGACTTAGGTTTGTTCATATTTAAAATTTTAAATCCGTTAGCACAAAATTGTTCATAATATTCTCTTTTGCATTTAATGTCTGTGGAATCTATTGTTTTGCCTTTTTTTCATTCCTAATATTGGTTATTTATGTCTTTTCTGTTTTATCTTGATCTTGCTAGAGGTTTGCCTTTTTGTAAATCTTTTCAAAGAATCAAATAGAACAGTGCTCTGTTAAATGTTTGTTTTCTGTGTCATCAGTTTCTGTTCTTGCCTTTATTTCTCCTCCTGTCTGTTTTTAAGCTTTATTTTGCCATTCTTTTTGTAACTTCTTGAGATAGATGCTTAACTCATTTTAGCCCCCTTTTTCTAACACATTCATTTAAACCTTTTCTGTTCACAAGTTCTTTATCCCACACATTTGGTTATGTCGTATTTTCATTGTTGTTCACATTTTCACTTATCTTTCAACTCATATCTTACTGACATTCATTCCATAACAGGTGGTATTTACGTAACGATTAAGGGTTTTATGGTTTCTAATTGCATTATTGCTGATGTCTCCACTGCTGCTAAGAGTGAATCACTTCACATACATTTGGATATATTCTCCCCCACAATCATTTAGCAAGTTTGTGCAGAAGAAAAAATTTTATCCTTATATGTGTTTGTGCTCTACAAAATGTGGTGTTGTGCATTTCTCAGCTAAGTTCCAGTGATTGTATTATAGTTAGTAAAGGTTGTCAATTTATTTACATATTGACTTGTTTTCTTTGTCTTAGCTGTGTTGGAGTAGAAGAACATCATGCTGTTGACATTGACCTGTACCACTGTCCCAACTGTGCAGTTTTACATGGTTCCTCCTTGAGTAAGTACCAGATGCTTAAGTAGAAATTGATGTGTCAAACTTAACATGCATGTGATAATTCTTTAATGATACTTTCACTAGTTATATTATACTTACTAAGAACTATAGGGCAAGACTTTACTGAAGATATTTGGAATGTAGTTTTTGTCTGAGTTATTAAGTAAGTCAAAAGATAAAGGGGAAGAAAATGCTGTCAGTCTTTATTGCTAATGCAGAGCCCTCAGTCTCAAGTACATAGTTTTGTAGTTTTCAATTTGAGAAGTGTGGTAAAGTCAGAATTTTCTGATTCTGGAGACTGATTTCAACTGTTTTAATCTCTTCACAAAGATAAAGGTCTTTCGGTAGTATTTTGGGACAGTGTGCAGAATAAGACTTTAATGCACACAAATGCCTTATATTTTAAGGAGAATATTAGGTCATTGATAAGCTAAATGTAACTTGTGTTTTCTGAATTTGGTTGTTGTACTGAATATGAACTGGAGTCCTGCTCAGCCATCCTGTCTGCCTGAAATCCCTTCCTGAGGTGTGAGGACTTCGCCAGACCAAGTCTCTGACCATACTCTTCTTACTCAGAAAGAGGGACAAAGGCAGGGAAGGCTCAGGCATTGTCTGGAGTGTATCAGCATTACACAGAAAATGATGTTTATTTTCAGCCTTTTGAAGATGCTTCAGAACCTTTTACAGATTCTTCAGAAGAACTACTTGAAACATTAATTGTTACTATGCATATGTGAGAGAAAATATTTAAAAGACTTTGTATATAATGGTTTCTTTTAAAATTTTAGGCTACAAACTAGCATTTTGTATTCATAAAATAAAAGAGTAAACTGTAGATTTTGTCATTTTAAAACGGTAGGGAAGCTTTGCCTAAACATACCTTGATATACACTTGAGTTGGGTGTAGGTCATCTATATGACCCCTTTATTTTGAATGCAGATTTTTTCCATAGTACTTACAAAAAAATAGTCCAGAAATTTTGTTCTGATGTTATACACAAAAAAATTTTTGAAAAGAGACTAGTAACTGACTGCCACAATATTTCTGTTAGAAAAATTAAGAATTTTCCTAATTTCTTGCAAGAGACTTAGACATTTAAGCTATATGAATATGTTAACATATGTCTTTATAAAATACAGGTTATATATTTTGTTAGTAACCCAGTATAAAAGGTTAGCAAATTGGCAGAATTGTTATATGTGTAATTGACTAACTTATTGTCATAAACATTTTTAAAAGCACTTACTCTAGGTAGTACTGAAATATGTGGTATATAATTTGACATACTTATTGACAGAGTAATTTTCGGAGGAAGTAAATAATACAATGTTGTTATCGCAAGGAAAATATAACTAAAACTTGAATAGTTTTAGTTTAGAATTTAAGTATGTAGTTCCAAAATAAAATAATTTGAATTTAACTTCTATGAAACATTGAGTTACTATGAGACAGAATAATGTACTACTGCATGTGATACACTCTATTTTCTGTTTTTCCTATATGATCTAATTTTTTTTTAAATGTATATAGAAACTTACATAGGATATATATTTACATATATACAGAAATAATACTAAACTCCGAATAGAAGTAATGCTCACTAGATTGATTACACAATCCATAATGGATCACAACCTGCACTTTGAATAGTGATGCTTCAGAGAAAAACTTGCCTATCATATGGCCCTTCATCTGCTTCTCATCCTGGAAGAACATTGGCTATCTTCTGGGCAAAGGTCCAACTCTGAGTTAGAGAAAGTGCCCAAGGTCCAATAATCTGTTTTATCTTGATTTGTAAGGCTTACCTTCCCCACCCCTCAACCTCAAACCCCAACTTGGGTAATCCCTTTTGATCCTTTTCCCTTCTGCTATGAAGATTTTCTTGTTTGCTACCCAGGGTTTCCTGTTCCTTTCAGAGTTCCCCAGGAGTCTTATTAGATATCATTTAGACAGTATAATTCCTCCTTTTTTTTTTTTTTTAAAGTTGGAGTCTTACTCTGTTACCCAGGCTTGAGTACAGTGGTATACTCACAGCCACCCCAATGTCGACCTGCTGGGCTCTGGCGATCCTTCCGCCTCAACCTTCCAACTAGCAGGAACTATAGGCATGCGCTATCATACCTGGCTAATTTTTTTGGTTTATAGTAGAGAAGAGGTCTCGCCAAGTTGCCCGGGGTGGTCTCAAACCCGTGGGCTCAGGCAGTCCACTTGCCTTGGCCTCCTAAAGTGCTAGGATTACAGAGTGAGCTACCGAGCCTGTCCTGTAATTCCTTAATGTGGTAAATTTCAACTGTACCCCTTTAATGGGAATTAAGAGTTCTGTCTGAAGGAAGGCAACAAAAAACAGCCCAACACTTAAATCTATGTTCTCTGTCTTCTTCATTCACATGCAATCCAAACAAAATTTTCTCTCTCTTCTCTATAAACACTACTAACATATTCTTTCATTGGCCTCTTTGCTGTAAGAAATTCAGTCAGCTGTTACAGTGGCTGATTTAAGAATGTTGGTCCAACAGGACAATTATATCCTTCTGTTAACCTCCTACAGTCAGCAGCACACTTAAAAGGAAATGATGATGACTGGCAGCTTATTACATGCCAGGCACTATAGTAGGTAAGTAAGTACTTGACCCATGCTCTCCTTTTGATGTTTATAACAACTCTATGAGAGAAATGAGAAAAATTATCTAACTAGCTCTTTTATGTAGTTATTTGGCAGAGCTGCAGTTTGAATTCAGTGCTGTCAAATCCCAAAGTTGTTGTGCTTCACTGCTTAATCTGCTCCTCAAAAATGAAAATTAAAGCAATTGCAGTGTCATAGTTCACCTATCAGTTGGGCAGCTTTTGTTTTATTTTTCCCCATTGAGAGGCAAGAGAATGAATTTTTGTTTATTTTGTAGTGATGATGCTCATTGTCAACCCAGAGCCTTGAAATAGGCTGCTTATATAATACTGATAGGAATGTAAGTTACTAGTACAACTTTTCTTGAGGCAGTGTTGCAGTATGTAGCAAGAATCTTAAAAATGTTGATTTTTCTTCTAATTTCTAGGAATTTATCCTGAGGAATTAATGAGGGAAACATTAATATGTATATGATATTTATATATCTCAACTTTGAAGAAAGATTCAGAATGGATTAAGTACTTAGGAACCAAAAAATGATTATGCAGTGCATGTGTATCTTAACCCTTTGCACTCAGATGTCTCCTCTCAGGGGACATAAAGAAATTACTGGTGATTATACAGGATAAACTTATGCCAGTGCAAATTTTTCAAAAATGTATGTTTCCTTGAGGTTTTCTATTCAAATTGCATGAAAAAGCAAATAAAGAGATAGACTATATATACTGAGATATGATTGATGAGTTGAGAAGTGATTTTCAGGAATCACAGGTGCATCCTTCCACATTGTCTTCGAACAACAGACCAGACAATAAGTTACATATTACTAATGTGGGAGGAAGAAGACAAGACTGCATTGTCTATTCAAATAGAAAACCACCAGGTGGAAGACGTTGAACAAATTTCTTTTGCACAACATGTTATCAGTGAACCTGCAATGCATGCTGGTGACTTTTTACAAGTTACCACATGTTAGAAAAGTGTAAGATATAAATTTTGATTTTTTTGTCATAAATAAGTTCCTCTATGTCCAAAATTCCATTATAAGCCAAATATCATTGCAATAAAATAATTGGTTCCAACGCTGTATTATTTAATATGAAGTGATTTGTTTTTCACTATTTCATAAAAAGTACAGCCAAGTTGCTGGTAGGTGCTCTGAGAGATGTCTCCGAGTGCAAAGGGTTAAAATTCTGGACTGCCTTTAACTTGCTTTAGAATATTTATTTATTTATTTTGTCTTTATTGTTTTTGTTGTTGTTGAGAAAGTACGATTTATTAAGAGGACACAAGGGCAACCCCTTTGGGTCCCCTCCTGCTGTGGGAGCTTTTCTGTCCTCTCAATAAATCCTGCTTTAAAAAACAAAAAAAGAAGACAGAAAAGCTCCCACAATGGGAGGGGACCTGAAAGAGGTTGCCTGCTTCTTTTTCTTTTTTTTTTTTTGAGTTGGAGTCTCACTCTGTCGCCCAGACTGGAGTGCAGTGGCCGCTCCCGGCCACCACAGCCTCGACCTGCTGGGCTCCGGCGATCCTTCCGCCTCAGCCTTCCGAGTAGACGGAATTACAGGCATGCGCTACCACGCCCGGCTGATTTTTTGATTTATTGTAGAGATGAGGTCTCGCTGCTTAGGCGGGTCTCGAAATTGCGGGCTCAGGCAATCCACTCACCTCAGCCTCCCAAAGGCGCGGGATTACAGGCTGAGCCACCGAGCCCGGCTGCCTGCTTCTTTTTCTAATATTTTTTTTTATTTTAAAGATGTGGGGTACAATTCAGCGTTTGGTATACAGATGTTCATTATGCAGGTACCCTTGTTGATGAAGTGTGTCCCCCCACCCTTGGCAGTTTTCCTCAACTGCCAATCCTATCCCTCCCTCCCCTGGCAGTTTCCCACTACTGACAATCCCTTTCTTATAGTTTTATGTTCATTGTTCAAGGTCCACTTATGAGTGAAAACATATGGTACTCTGTTCTTTGTTTCTATGATTGATCAATGGGTATGATAGATTCTAAATCCACCCAAGTTGCTGCGAAGTCCATGTTTGTCCTTCTTTATGACTGCATAATATTCCATTATGTATATGTACCACATTTTAAAAATCCAGTCCAGTTTTGATGGGCAGCATGGTTGATTCCATGTTTTTTCTATTGTGAATAGTGCTGCAATAAATATGTATTTGCAGGTATCTTTTTTGTAGAATGATTTGAATTCCTCTGGGTATATTCCCAGTAGGGGGATTGCTGGGTCGTATGGAAGGTCGGTGTCTAGTTCTTTTAGAAATTGCCACACTGTTTTTCAAAGAGTTTGCACTAGTTTTCTAGAATATTTAATAAGGAGAAAATGCTCATAACATAGCAAGAAAGGTAATCAGAATAAACATTATGATGCCAGCTGAAAATAAAATGGAGTTATGTATCCACATACAGTAGAAAAAACTCTGAAATGGAATTTTCTAGGGAGGTTGCTTTGTGGTTCTAAATTTTTCTTTTCCTCTTTTTTTTTTTTTTTTTTTTTTTGAATTGGAGTCTTACTCTGTCACCAAGGCTGGAGTGCTGTGGCACATTCACAGCCAGCTCTCCAAGTAGCTAGGACTACAGGTGAGCACTATCATGCTCAACTAATTTTTTGACATAATTGTTGAGATGAGGTCTCGCCATGTTGCTCAGGCTGGTCTTGAACTCCTGGGCTCAGGTAATCCTCTTGCTTTGGCCTCCCAAAGTGCAGGGATTACAGACATGAGCCACCGCACCCAGCTGGTTTTCTTCCATGTTGAAGATTTGGCTGCTGTAAGTTACTTGAGAATCTTGTTTTACATTCTTAAATATGAATCAACCTAATTTTCAACTGTATTAATTATTTAGTGTGACTTTTTATCCATATGAGGACTTAACATTATTGAATTATTATGATCTTTATAAGGAGAAGGTTTAAGATAACTTGGAATCATGAAGTTTTTTCTCCAATAGCATTTTGTTATAAAAATGTTCATACATATTGGAAGAGTTGCAAGAATTTTACGGCAAGTACCTATAAACGTTTACCAGCTAGATTCTACAATTAATATTTAACATTACTTGCTTTACCATACATTTATCCATGTAACTATCCCAGTGTCTTCCCACTTTATATTTTGGATGTATTTCTAAGTAACTTGAAGGTATCAGTATATTTTTCGTAATTATGGAGGTTTTAGACTTGTGATTTTTTCAGCTTATAAAGAAAGATTTAAAATTGAGATCTTACATTGATACATAAAAGAGCTGTAAGTGGTGCCACTTTGGTGGAAAGAGGAATGAGGTCCAGAGATCCTCCCTTCGTTTGTTCTCCCTCATCGCCCCCTTGGCTAAGGGTTCCTCCACACAGTTAGAAAAATCACATCCAGCACTTTTACCCCCCCTTTACTTCCACCTTGAGGAATCTGGGTCCAGAGGTTTTACGTGACTTGTCAGGGCTACAGAGGAGCTTAATGACTGAACTAGGAATTAAATTCAAGTCTCCCAATTTTGATTGCTGTGACTACTGAAGATTGTAGCCTCCCAGAGCTGTACAATCCCAGGATCTTAGCTTTAAAATGAATGAAAAAGTTATTTTGTCATCCACCTGTCTTCCTTTAATTACGACTCAGTCACCTGGTCTTCTTTGTGTCAGTGTAACCATGCTTATTTTGGAAGTAAGTCTTCACATACAAGAGAATTACGCTGTTAGAATAGATTTCTGATGTAGGATAAAAGGCCCTATCCTGAGAGGATGATTTGGATGATTCGGATAATATTATGTCTGTTAAGTCACAATTCCAGCCGGGCCTCCAAAATGTGAGGTCAGACTTGCTAGGGTGAGGTTGTGTGATCTGGTGCCACGAGAAAGATGCAAAGAACTGCACAGAAGGTAGATTGGAAAATATAGTTTATATAGGAAGTAAATGAGAGAGAGAGAGGGAGGGAGGGAGGGAAGGAGGGAGGGAGGTAAGGTAAGAAAAATGTTATTGACTACATATTGTGTTCTTTCAATGACCTAATGTCCTGGTGAAAATCATAATTTTAAATAATTTGGAAATCTTAGTATGTGTAGATGTAGATATTATAAAGGCTTCATCTGCTGATTTGAATTCCTTGATTTAATTTTTAAATATTTTGAAATAAAAAGAGGAGGTTTTAAAAATCCACAGTTAATTGCCTGTAATTGCAGCGTTAGATTAAGCAAAATGTACTTTTGCAGCCTGGAAATGCATTTAAAAGAAGCTTGAGTGTTCTTATTGTATTTACAATTGTTATTTCTGATTATGTAGATTATTACCAGGCATCATTTTCTTTTTTCTTTTTTTTAATTTTTAAAAAATCCAGTGAAAAAGAGGAGGAACTGGCACAGGCATGACTACACAGAAATTGATGATGGTTCCAAACCAGTGCAAGCTGGAACTAGAACTTTTGTTAAAGAATTACGCTCTCGAGTCTTCCCAAGGTATGAAAACTTGTTTTGATCAAAGAGAATGTAAGAATGTTAGCTGATATAGTGACATTATCTAAAGTAATGTTTCCAAACTTTAGGCTGCAGCCCCATTATTGTCCTCAACCAGCTTTTCACTTTTTTTTTTAATTAATGAAATAGAATAGAAGAATATCAGTATATTCCAAGTAACAGGAGGAGTAAGCATAGTTTCATGGAACTTTTGTTATACCTATATGCACACGGGGTCACCATGTAAAAATAACTTCTTTACTGTGGGTCACAGTTCACAAAGTTTGAAATACATGATCCAAGGCAGTTGTTCCCAGACTTGGCTCCTTATAATATGCAGCTACTGCTTCTCACCTCACCTTCTCCTGTTTTCTAACTCTGGTTTTTTTCTCACGTTGCCGTTTCATCCACCTCTGCTCTTGGTCTACCAGGAGCACACACAACCATTGCTTAGCCTCTGGTGGCAGTGGAACTGGGCTTTTTATTTTTTTAAAAAATAATGGAATATATTTGAGATGTCTGTGACTCAAAGAAAGTCAAAAGCATTATAAAGCATTTAATCATGCTAATTTCGATCATTTCCTACTCACTGCCTGACATCTATTTAAAGTGATAATGCTTAATAGGCTTTTACACAAGATCATAGCCAGGCTGTTCAAGACAGGAAGCACAATTTAAATTTAAATCACAGTATCACATGCAGCCTATTGCAGAATTATTTCAGATACTAAAACGCTAAAACGTTTGCGATTTCTCGTCAAGTTTTAGGATTCCTCTCTGTTTTATAGGATTCCTCTACTGTTGGCTTCCTTGAATCTGCTGAGATAAAGAAAACATATATGAAACATAGTGTTTCCACAGTACTTTTATTAGGTTAAAAGGCCCTATTCTCAAATGTTCTCCTTTATCGGTTTCAAAGTTGTAGTAGAAATATTTGCTTTTCCTTTTTATTGGATAATGCTTGATTGGTTTGGAACCTAGGCCCAGAGTTTTCAGCCTGGGTCTACTAGTGGACCTCATTGAAGTTTGTGAGCTTCCTAAAATTCTTTATACCATTTAGTGTCAATGTGTGTGTGTTCATTTTTCAGAGAGAAGAGCCATAGCTTTCCTTTAAAAAAAAAAAAATTTTTTTGACCCAAAAAGTAGTGTTAAAAACACTGGCCTAGTAATTCATGTGACCTTTCTGCCAAAATGAAGAGAAATGAAGAACTTATAGAGATGATCACAAACGTCCAAACTATAATTACCGTTAATTAAGGGTTTTTGGTTTTATTTTGTTTAACCTCATAAACCTTTACACCACTTAAAACCATAATAGAGTAATAATAATTAATAAATTACACATACATACATTACACATACATACATGATGTGATTAACACAGAAGTATATAAAATAAAGTGAATATGTTATAATTCTGTCTTCTATTTTAAGGCTTAGTGTAAGTTTTTTGAGACCCTTTTCCACATGAATAACATTTAAAACTTTTATGTATACAGATGCATGGATGCGTATAATTTTCTAAAAATAAAATGGGGTTATGTTATACAAAATGTTGTGCAACTTGTCTTTTTTACTATTATATGTTGTACATATCCTTCCGTGTGTATGTATACATTTATCTGACTCCACTGTTGTATCATATGCAAGTGTTTAGATCCCACAGTTTGCTTAATTATCCTCACAACATATGTTTAGTTTGTCTCCAGTTTTTTCCTCTACCAAAGCACTTGGTAGTAAAATACCAAACATTTGTTATCAGGGAGTCCAAGTGACTTAAAATTCTCCTTTAGATTAGAGTTTAAGGAATTATTTAGCCCTCAGAGGTTGGAGGAAGGAGGGACAATTATGGATACTTATGGGATTTACTAAAAGGTAGTATAGAACTCAGGTTCAGTAGATGAGTCAGAAAAGACTACCTAGGAAAAATCTGTCTCAATTTTCTTAGGCAAACTGTCTTTGCCTTGTTGCCTTGCCTTGTTGAGAGCCCAGTAATCCAGAGAATGAGCATCTCCTTTTTTACCTGTCTGCTCCTTGCCTCCTAGGCTGCAGGTAACATCAAACAGTTAAGATTTGATTGCATAAATGGAAACTTGTGTTTTGACCTTAAAGGCAAGTGTTGCACTTAAATTTGAATGTACAGCAGCTGTATCCTAAGAGTAATTGGGAGATAAAATCTAAAATGCCCCAGGGAAAGTGATTTGGAGGAAAATGACAAAGGGACAAACAACACTTAGGTGTAATGTCTTTAATTGTTTATCATCAGAGAGGGCAGCTTTAGGTCCACCCCATTTTGGTTGCTTAAAGTTACTACCTGGTATTAAAATTTACTAAATGCTGATTATAATAGATGATTTAAGTTAGATAGATGTCAGTGTTTTGACACCTAAGTGGTTGGGGACCAGGGATGCAGTCATCCTTCAGTATAGAACAACAATTAATTGTTCTGTGTCCCATTAAACTTTGAAATGTCTAATAAATATTTGTGTAGAATTTCATAGTTAGATAAAATCTACCCTGATTTTAATGATCTGAACACTAGTTTTTATTCTAACATACACCCTCCCTTTTGCTCTCCCAGTTTTCTATACAGCTTATATTGAATGTCTTCTGACCTTTTCACTTCTCTTAAATCTGATCATTCATTATACCTAGTTTTAAGCATTTTGTTATTTTTATTACATCTCCTGGTGTAGAATGCATGAATATTTACATGTTGAAATACAGGTGGGGAATTCCTCATTTGAAATGCTTTGGACCAGAAGTCTTTCAGATTTTTTTGGGATTTTGGAATATTTACATTATTTTTTACTAGTTGAGCAACCCTAACTGAAAATCTTCAGTGCTCTGGTGGGCATTTCCTTTGAGCATTGTGTTGATGCTCAAAATGTTTTGGATTTTGGGGCATTGTGGATTTGGGAATTTTGGATTAGCACTATTCAACTTGTACATATTTTGCTATAGACTATTTTTTTTTTCTTTTTTCAGTTAGAGCAGTTTATACATTTTTCCAATTATATGTACTGAGTAAAGTAGATAATATTTGCTACAAATTTTATTTTAGCAATAGGGGTTTTACAAAAACATTAAAAGGAGAATTAGATATGTTAGGCAAAGAGCCACTGATATAGATAACTGTGTAGTATATGAATTAACCCATTACCACAGTATTTTTTAAACTGAACTTGTCAACAAAAATGACATTTTACTTTTATGTTTTTCCTTAGTGCCGATGAAGTCATTGTGAAGATGCATGGCAGCCAGCTGACACAGAGATATTTGGAGAAACATGGATTTGATGTTCCCATTATGGTCCCTAAATTAGATGATCTGGGACTCAGGCTCCCTCCACCTGCTTTTTCTGTGATGGATGTGGAACACTATGTAGGTACGAACTTGATTCCTTTCAGTACCTGGGAAAACACGGTAAAAGTAAAAAATGTAGCCGGGCGTAGTAGCACACGCCTGTAGTTCCAGCTACTCGGAAGGCTGAGGCGGAAGGATCACCAGAGCCCAGTAGGACGAGGCTGCGGTGGCCAGGAATGGCCACTGCACTCCAGTCTGGGTGACAGAGTGAAACTTCAACTCAAAAAAAAAAAAAGCAAAAATGATAGTCCTAATAATATTAAAAGTTAAGTGAAGGAATGTTAGTTTAGTTTAGTTTCTTGGTCAGAAAAAGTGGAACTCAATGTTACTTGTATTGAAAACTACTTTTTCTCAGCAGATTTACAACTCTCAGAAAAACAGAATGACACATTTTTACCTGGCATTTACTCAGCCTCATCCTGCTGCTTTCTTTGGTGTCATTAAATTTTCTTATACTTGCTTAGAGAAAACTATCACTGAGGGACAGCTAAAGATACCAAGAAGAAAGACACTGCAAACTTGAGTTGGTTGAAGGAGTCTGTAGAATATCGGTGCAAAATCCCTGAACCCAGCACACTGATGGCAGTTAGTCCTCTGGAATCTGCTTTTTGACCTCCTCCTGCTTAGTGAAGGGCTGTATGATGAGGAGATCATTCTCAATTCTGTTTTATATAGTAATGACTTGGCAAATATTGCCACTTACAGACAGATGTTTGGACTTTATTTGTGATTTAAGAAAAGCATAAGAAAAAGGGGAAAAGCCCTTTATTGCCATATTGTTGATATCTTCAGTCATTTCATTCTCATCAAGCTGATATATATGGATGTTATTCCTTGTCAGCAATAGATAGATTATTGGAGGATTAGCTTGCAATCCTCCCTGACTCAAAATTGTGTATTCACTACAATATATTATCTATTCAACATGGAATATTTGAGAACTTGCCCCTTTATTGAGCCATTGCTTGACAGTTCTCACTGATAATTGTTTCACTGAGGAAATTCAATTAAATATCATGACTTTATGTTCAGTTAAATTTGAATATTTGGTAAATTAGGAGCTGAGACTGAGGTGTGATCTAAAGATATAGATAACAACTAAAATAAAGAGCTAGTATAATATAAACACAGGAAAAAAATGTTCACACTTCTTGACAGCTTAACTTTTTAGTACTAGAGAGTACTTTAGTTGAATACTAGTAACAGAACTATGTTACCTTCTAAAGATAAATAAATCTACAAGGCAGTACTTTCTTAACCTACATGAAGTTACATTAAAGTAAGAAAATGGCATTTTTTTCTATATCAGATCAGTTAAGTATTGCCATATATATATATATATATATATTTTTTTTTTTTTTTTTTTTTTGAGTTGGAGTCTCACTCTGTCGCCCAGACTGGCACAGAGTGGCACGCTCCCGGCCACTGCAGCCTCGACCTACTGGGCTCCAACGATCCTTCCTCCTCAGCCTTCCAAGTAGCTGGAACTACAGGCATGTGCTACCACACCTGGCTGGTTTTTGAATTATTGTAGAGACGAGGTCTTGCCAAGTTGCCCGGGCAGGCAGTCCGCTTGCCTTGGCCTCCCAAAGTGTTGGGATTACAGGCTGAGCCACCGGGCCCAGCCAATATTGCCATAGTTTGAATGTCACCTTATCCCCATAGTGCATTGTAAAACTGGTTATGTTTCCAAGGGTGGCAGTGCAGTGGTCTGTAAGCATCAACTTATGGTTTTATAGGAAATTATAAATTAATCACAGTTCAGAACTCAGTCATTCAGAATCTGAATGTGAACTGATTTTTGCTTCCTAACCACTAATTTTTTTTTTTGAAGGAGAATATTAAAAGAGAAGATGCTATCAGGAGATAAGAAATTGTCCTGGTCAACTTGCTCAAAAATTCTCTAGTAACTGATCTGTTTTTCAAAATTCACAGACTTAGAATATTAGGTGTTACAGAAGTGAAAAGGAAAAGTAAAGCTCCTCATTTTATGTTCAAGAAAATTGAAATCCATAAAGTGCCGCACAATTTCCACATGTCGGTATAATGTATTTTTTTCATTATGAGCTGCACACAAGATAACATTGGTATATAGAAAGTTCTGTAGCTGGGCTCGGTGGCTCAGCCTGTAATCCCGTGCTTTGGGAGGCTGAGGTGAGTGGATTGCCTGAGCCCGCGGGTTCAAGACCCACCTGGGCAGCTTGGCGAGACCTCATCTCTACAATAAATCAAAAATTAGCCGGACTTGGTAGCACGTGCCTGTAGTTCCAGCTACTTGGAAGGCTGAGGCGCAAGGATCTCCAGAACCCAGCAGGTCGAGGCTGTGGTGGCCGGGAGCGTGCTACTGCACTCCAGTCTGGGTGACAGAGTGAGACTCCAACTCAAAAAAAATAAAAAAAAAGTTCTGTAAGCCATGTGCACTTTTATACTCAGTATTAATTATGCCTCTCTCTCATTACTTTATTTTTTCTCTGAAAAGCTATTCTTCTTTTTTCAAAAGGTCCAGTTGAACTTTTAAAAGTCAGAATGTAGGAAGAATCTTTGTTTAGGCTAGAGCTTTATAATTGGCTTAATTATTATACCAAGTAAATATGATATTTGAAGTATTTTTGTTTGGGGCATCTATTGGTAACTTAAGCCCAATAATAAGACTATAATTTTTCTCTGCAGGTGGTGACAAAGTGATAGATGTCATTGATGTGGCGAGGCAGGCAGACAGCAAAATGACACTTCACAATTATGTTAAATACTTCATGAATCCTAACAGACCAAAAGTGTTAAATGTGATCAGCCTTGAATTTTCAGATACAAAGTGAGTAGTTCTGGACATTTTGGTTTAGCATTCTGAGTGCTAGCTAAATGTAGTTTAATGGTATTCTATTTTAGTAAGAAACATAATTGTAACTTCTGCAGTTGTCCAGTGGTAGCAGTGTTGTCGATTTTGCATTGGCACACTCAGAGAATATTTAGAAATAAGATGTATTTTAAACTTTAAGTATTGTTGTTAACCTTGACTTCCAGTTAATTACTTGGCTTGGGTAGAGATGGAAGGACTACTTTTAAGAAGTTTTAATTTGCATGATGTGGGTATGTGTGTATGTCTGCTTTTTTAAAGGATGTCTGAATTGGTGGAGGTCCCTGATATAGCCAAAAAACTTTCCTGGGTGGAAAATTATTGGCCAGATGACTCAGTCTTTCCCAAGCCATTCGTTCAGAAATACTGCTTAATGGGAGTCCAGGACAGCTATACAGATTTCCACATTGACTTTGGTGGAACTTCGGTCTGGTACCATGTCCTCTGGGTAAGATTTGGGTATTTCTTTGTTTTCTTATTGGCAAAAACATATAGCCATATTTTTTCAGTGCTGTATTCATGTGCTGTAAGTGACATTTGTAAAGTTCCTATTTTTTGTCTGGACTATATTTGATGCTGTGTCCTCAGGTTTCTGTTCATTTTCTTCATGAAGAAGCAAAGAGTTAGTTTATTAGTTCCTATTTTTAAGTAGGAACAATCACTTTGCCTTTAAACATTATGACTTTTTAAAATCCCAAGTAAGGCAAGAGCCATGACCTTTAAATTTATATTTACATTCTCTTTTTTGCCCCCGTCTTTTAAGCTGGCTTCTTTTAGTCTTTTCTCTCTTTGTTTCCTCCATTAATCCCTGAATCAAATACCTAAGAAAGAGCAAAATTACAGTAATAATTGCTTCTGGCCTTATGGTTGTGCTAGGAGAGCTAGTCAGATAAGTAAGAAATGCCCATAAAAATACCATTACTTTGGCCAGGCGTGATGGCTCACTCCTATAATTCCAGCAATTTGAGGGAATTGCTTGAGCCCAGGAGTTCCAGACTAGCTTAGGCAACATAGTAAGACCTTGACACTACAAAAAAAAGAAAAATCAAAAAATCAGTTCGGTGTAGTGGTGTGTGCCTGTAGTCCCAGCTACTCAGGAGGCTGAGGCAGAAGGATCACCTGAGCCCAGAAGGTCGAGGCTGCAGTGAGCCATAATGGTGCCACTTCAGACTAGGTGACAGAGTGAGACCCCCAACTAAAAAAAACAAAAACAAAAACAAAGCCAATACTTTGCAATTTATATTCACCTTGCTTTATCTAGAATTACACTAGTTCAGTATGGTAGCCACTAGCCACGTGTGGCTAAATTTAAATAATTAAAATGGAATTAATTAAAAACATCTTTTTGAGAGAGTCTCACTCTGTCATCTAGACTAAAGTGGAGTGATACAGTCATAGTTCACTGCAATCATGAACTCCTGGGCTCAAGTGATCCTGTTGCTTCAGCCTCCCAAGTAGCTGGGACAACAGGTCTTTGCCACCACACCCAGCTAATTTTTGTTGTTATTTTCATTTGTAGAGATAGGGTCTTGCTATGTTGCCCAGGCTGGTCTTGAACTCCTGACCTTAAGCAATTCTCCTGCATTGGCTCCTGAAATGCTGGGATTGTAGGTATAAGCTGATACACCTGCCTCAAAATAAGTTTAATTAAAAATGCAGTTTCTCCTCTGCACCAGTCACACTTGAAGTGCTCACTGGCCACATGTGGCTAGTGACTGCTGTATTAGATAGCACAGGTGTAAAAACTTCCATCATCACAGAAAGTTCTGTTGGAGAGCACTGATGTAGAACCAAAGCTTCATCAGTGTCAAATGCTTGTGCCTCAGCAATTGTCCAGACTATATTTGATGCTATGTCCTTAGGCTTCTGTTCATTTTCTTCATGAAGAAGCAAAGAGTTTATTAAAGGAAGTTAATTAGTTGGGAAGGAGGAGCTTTAGCTCCTGTGAAACTGTTTCAGTACCTAGATCCAGGTATGTGAAATATTTTTGGAACCTAAAAAACTTGATAATTATCTAATTTATGTTATATAATTGTATTGGGAAATTGCATCCATGCTGGCCACCCCAAGAATGACTTTTACTTTTTCAAAAACAGTATGATTACTTCCTTCTAGGGTGAGAAGATTTTTTATTTGATAAAGCCAACAGATGAAAATTTGGCACTCTATGAGTCTTGGAGTTCATCTGTGACCCAGAGTGAGGTGTTCTTTGGCGATAAGGTGGATAAATGCTACAAGTGTGTGGTAAAGCAGGGACATACCTTATTTGTTCCTACAGGTAAGGTTCTCGTCCTCCCCCAGCACTCCTCCATCCCTATGGTTGATACTCAGTTACATGGAACCAACTATTAATTAGAGTCTCTGGCTTTAACATGTAGTACATATGTAGTTACCCAAGAAATAATTCTGATCTTGGACTTTCTACTTTTTATCCTGTGGCTGGGGAGGGGAGGGGAGGGGGGACAAATAGTTATAGTTAGGACTTCTGTTGGCATTGCCTTTCTGTCATTGGCTTCATTTTTACTTTTATTGGGATAAAATAACAGTATTCACCCTTTGAAGATTTACAGCTCAGTGGTTTTTAGTAGATTAACAAGGCTGTGCAAGCATCACCGCTATTCTAATTCCAGAATATTTTCATCATCTCAAAAAGAAACCCCATACCCTTTAGCAGTCACTCCCCATTGTTCCTCCCCTGAGCTCCTGACAACCACTGATATACTTTCTGTATTTATGGATTTCCCTTTTCTGGACACTATGTGGGATCATAGACTATGTGGCCTTTTGTGTATAACTTTTTTCACTTAGCATAATATTTTCTAGGTGTCACTGCTTTATCTTTTTATGGCCCGATAATATTCCATTGTAGGATATACAGGTTTAACATCTCTAATCCGAAAATTTGAAATCTGAAATGCTCCAAAATCTGAAACTGTTTGAGTGCCAACATGGTGCTCAAGGGAAATGTTTGGAGCATTTCGGATTTTGGATTTTCAGACTAGAGATGCTCAACTCGTAAGTGTATAACGCAAATATTTCAAAATTCTAAAAAAAAATTGAAATCTGAATATTTCTGGTTCCAAGTGTTTCATATAAAGGATATACAACTTTATCAAATTTAATTGACCTTTTCCTCAACTGATGGACATTTGGGTTGTTTCTACTTTTTTGGTTATTATGAATAAGGCTGCTTTGAACATTTGTATAAAGGTTTTTAGGTAGAGGTATGTTTTCATTTATCTTGAGTAAATACCTAGTAGTGGCATTGCTGCATTATATGGTTTAACTATGTTTAGCTTTGAGGAACTGCCAAACTGTTCTCCAAAGGGCTTCACCATTTTACATTCCCACCAACAACGTATTCAGGTTCCAGTTTCTCTCCATCTCCACCAGCACTGTAATTGTTTTCTAGCAGCTGCGAAGTAGTATTTCATTATGGATTTGATTCCATTACCTTAATGAATAATGATGTTGAACATTTTTCTTGTGCTTATTAGCCATTTTTATATCTTCTTTGTAGAAATGTCTTTTCAAACTCTTTGCCTATTTTTAAATTCAGTTATTTGTCTTTTTGTTGTTTTGTTTTTTGAGTTGGAGTTTCACTCTGTTGCCCAGGCTAGAGTGCAGTGGCATGCTGGGTAGCTGGGACCACAAGTGTGCACCCACACACCTTGCTAATTTTTTGTTGTTGTTATTTATTGTAGACATGAGGTCTCACCAGGTTGCCCAGATTGGTCTTGAACCCCTGGACTCAGGCAGTCCTCTCACCTCTGCCTCCCAAGATAGAATTACAGGCATGATCTACTATGCCCAGTCTTTTTTTTTTTTTTTAACTTTTTTTTAAAAGTTATAGTCTCCGTCTGTTGCCTAGACTTGAATGCAGAGGCATGATCACAACCACTGCAGCCTTGACCTCCTGGACTCAGGCAATCTTTTCTACCTCATCCTTCCAAGTAGCTGGGCCCACAGGCATGCACCATCATGTCCCAGCTATTTATTTATTTATTTATTATAGAGATGAGGTCTTGTTAAGTTGCCCAGGCTGGTCTTGAACCTCTAGGCTCAGCAATCCCCTTGCCTCTGCCTCCCAAAGTGCTGGGATTACAGGCATGAGCCACCACACCCGCTATTTGTCTTTCTTTTATTGTTGAGTTCGTAAGCATTGTTTTTGTTATATTATGTTATGTGAGTTGTGGGGTACATGTGAGATTTACTACTTAAGTAAATTGCATACTGATGAGATTTGGGCCTCTAGCAGACCCTTTCTTCCCCTGATAGTGGACCTGGTGCCTAATGTGTGGTTGTGTACCCCTTACCCCTCCTTCCTCCTTCAGCAGCATCTACTGTCTGTTGTTCCCACCTTTGTTCTCATGTGACCAGTGATCAGGGGGACCCTGTAAGCATTCTTTACACACTCTGTAAATTAGACCCATATTGTATATATGATTTTCTCTCACTCTGTGAGTCTTTTTACTTTCTTGATAATGTTCTTTAATGCACAAAAGTTCTTAATTTGATGATGTTCCTTTTAGTTTTAACTCTGGTCAGCTCTTTATTGTTATTAAAGGCTAAGCCTACTGTAAGAATCTGGGTGGCTGTCCTGGGACATTTAGGAGGCAAAGAGTATGTTTTGAGAGACCTTAGAAAGGGATTGAGTATCAATCTTAGCTGTAGCCTCAAGTGTAGGTATCAGGTCTGTCATTTTAAGTTGTGAATGAATGTAGAGTGTAGACTTCACACCAGTGGTTTTGAGATTATGTTCTGGTATGGGCAACCTTAATGGTTGCAGAGTTCTATTCCACAGGCCTTGCCTCGCCTATGGTATATAATAGTTATGTGTTGAATAAATGAATGAATAAATACCTAATGCTTCCAGAATCTTTGCCTGGATAAATATCAGTATTTTCACTGTGAATGGACTAAGCTCCTCCTTTAAATCTTCTTTGTAGTTCTCCCTTTTATAGTAAATATCTTGTTCCTACTTCAGAATCTTAAATTGAAATTCATAGATAACATAATTCTTTAAAACTATAAAAAATAAAATTTTTTAAAAAGTTTATTTAGTTACCTAACTGGAATATAAAGAAGAAATAAAAAAGGTAATTTGTAGTGAAATGCTGTTTCCATACATGCCCTTTTTAGGCATGGCAGCATTAGAGGACAGTTGAAATGGTCAGCTGCATAAACCAGCAAACCAGTACAGGTGTGCGTTAGTGGCAACATGGAGTCTATCAGTAGCATTGGTGTAGGTTAGTGGTTCTCAAACTTCATGGAGACTCAAAGTCAGCTGGAAGGCTTGTTACAACACAGGTTATGTCATTCCTAAGGTTCTGATTACCTCCATCTGGAGTGGGCCTGATAATGTACATTTCTAGTAAGTTCTTGACTGATCCAGTTGCTGCTGGTCTGGGGACCACACTTTGGAGAATCACTCTGTAAGCAGTGTGATTTTTTTCCTAATAGTAGTGATTTTTTTCCTAATTTTTTTCCTAGTAGTTGACAGCTGATAAACTTCCAAACAAACTGAAGTACAATTTTCTTCATTTTGCAAAGTAGTTGTACTCCTGGAGTTTGTGCCAAAAACCAATGCAAAAATACTTAGGATACAGAATGGAGTTCTAGTTTCTAGGTCAGATAGTTACTGGATAGGCTTCATACCTCTATGAATGCCCAGCAGAACTCGACAGTTCTGAGTGATGCAAGGAAGTTTCATACTGTGTGGAACTGTGTTACACTCCTGGCTCCCACTTAGAGCATGCCAGGAGTGCACCCAGATCACGGTGACAATTAGAAAAGCCCCCAAACTTTTCAAAACATGCTGTACTGGCAGTGCAGCCACTATTGAGAGAGAATCACTGATGTGTAGGATTTGCAGCTGGCACAGATAGACTTCTAATATGTGGTTTCAGGGTCAAGCTCAAGGCTTTGTGCCTTTGAGCACACAAATGCCTTACTTGAAAGTAAGTCCTTTGAGAGGTATTACAGCACAGTGAGGGGTCACAAGATAAAAAATACAAAGAAAATGGGATTTTAAAAGCTAGTTTTCATATAAACGTATGTGTATATTTATTTATATAAAATTCTTATGTTAAGTCTATCATCATTTCTTTTAAAAACTAGGCATCATCTCTTAGGAATGATTCTCACTTTGAAACTATTTTTATGGGAAAACAAAACATCATTTTGATTGTGCCAACACTTACATTTGTTAAACCATAACCCTTCATAATTGAATGTGGGCCATCTACCCTACCCTTCTTACAGAGCCAAGTCTCAGGTTGAGTCCCCTGGAATCCTCTGCTTGGTCCTTTCAGGACATCCATTTCAAGGTGACACCAGGGAGGTGGTGTGCTCAGCCAAACCCCTGTTCTTTAGTGGAAAATGTGTTTTCCTAATTCAGCCAGATTCGCCTTGTTTCACAGTGAGATCTTTAGTATTTAGTTGGGTTGTATTTTTAAACTAAAAAACAGAAACAGCAACAACCACAAAAATCCTCCACCTTATTTCTCAACCTCAGCATGGAGCCTGGCATATACTAGGCATTTAATAAATATTCAATTAAATGGCTCTCTAGGTTGTAACAGCCATCTGCTTTTCTAGCACTGGAGTATGAAGTCAACTGAGGTTGCTGTTTTGAGTGACTTCACAAGTAGAGATCATATTGTACAGTTGAAATATTGAAAATCACTGATTCATATGCTTTTAACCATTTCAGGGTGGATTCATGCTGTGCTCACTTCTCAGGACTGTATGGCTTTTGGGGGGAACTTCCTGCACAACCTTAACATTGGCATGCAGCTCAGGTTTGTGTCACCAGCATTTGAAAGATCTTCTATCCTTTCTTAGATAGGACATTCTTTTTTTTAAGTTAAAAAAAATTCAGAACATATTTTGAGAATCCATGGAGATAACAGGAATTTTTAACAGAAGTAGCATTTTAAAATTTTGTCAGGAGGATGCTTTGATGCATTTCAAGTATGTCTCCAAATTTGAAAACTTAATAAAAATTTATGCGTTCTCCTTTGACTATTTTTGTAATGAGGGAAATGAGTGAAACCCAGTCAGTGTGACATATGGTGCTAGGAAAAATCAACCCTAAGTCAGGATTGCTGTCACAACACCTGCTTTAATTTTGCTACAAATAAAGGATTAATTTTTCCATTCTGTATGAGAATTTGATCTTTGCATAACTCTGTTGTCTGGTAGTCTAATGAGGGTAGAACGCTACTAGGCAACATTGCTTATGGTTAAAATGATTTCTGATAAACTGCATCAGGACTGGGAGAACTAGAAATACCTGGTAGAAAGCCAGCCATATTTTTGGGCTTCCCTGAAAGTGGTGACTCTTGAAACTTGGCATGCCCGTGGAGATCCCTGGAAGCTACGCATATGTGTGTGGAGTTTTTACAAGAGATAGTGGTTCTTACAGGGCTTGGGACTTCAAGCTCCCACACCTACCAAGTATGGAACTCATCTCTTTGTCCTTGTGCTGTCCCTGAGGGAGAGATGGCTCCTGCTATAAGGGACTCCTACAGAAGACTAACACTGAGGCAAGCTGTGGTTCCTGTCTTGTCTTCTTGATTAGTGTCATGTGTGGTCTTAAGCTTGAATGCCTAGTTGAACCTAAAGAAAATTTTCTGGATGGGTGTGGCAGTGTTGTCCAACACATGGAGCTGTTTTCTAAACACTTGTTTTATTTGTTATAGTGGAACTCTTGTAGAAATCCTTTTGTTGAAATGAGGATTCAAATCCCAAAGTGTGATCTTTATGAAGCCCATTGTAATTCTTAAGTACACTTTCAAATTGGTTAAAATCATCCTGGATAAGCTTACAATTCAGTCATGCCCAAATGTGGTGTTGCAAATATACAGTAGTTGATTGATGTTTTATATCATGAGGTCATGATTATTTTATCTTCAAGTTCGTTACCTTCATTTACCTTTGAAATGCTAATACTAATGTTAAATATTTCTTCAAATTTTATTTATTTAGGTGTTATGAGATGGAGAAAAGGCTAAAAACACCAGATCTTTTCAAATTCCCTTTCTTTGAAGCCATATGTTGGTTCGTAGCCAAAAACTTGTTGGAAACTCTGAAAGGTAATTGAGTTTTGATAATCACGATTTTTATGAACTCAAAGAAGACATTTGTGTATATGTGTGTGTGTTTACTTTTAGCATGATGAAATTTGTCATACAAATAGTCAGTTATATAGATCACATACACACTGCATACATACACACACTCTTGTGCTTTTTAAAGAATAAGGCTGTTATTACTCAGGTAATCACTACCCCAGTTAAGCAAAAACAGCCTTTCCAGTACCTTAGAAATGCCCTGTCACCCTTCCCATTGCATCCTTCTCTTTTCCTTCTGATAACTACTATCCTGACTTTTGTGATAATTTTTCTTCAGTTTTATCACCTGTCCTATAAACTAAAATAGTTAATTTTTCTCCATTTGTAAACGTCATATAAATAGGTTCTCTTTTGTTCTTACTTTTATTCAGCATTGTTTGTGAGATTCATCCATGTTTTTGTGTGTAGTTACAGTTCTTTTGTATTGCTGTAGTATTCTGCTGTTGGGACTATATTATGATTTATATATCTATTCTGTAGTTGGACATTCTGGAGTTGTTTTCAGTTTTTGGCAATTATGGAAAATATTGCTAAGAAGAGCTTGTCAGTGTCACTAGTGCAGGAATTATTCCAGAGAATAGACCAATTGCTAGGTCATAGATAGAATTTAGTAGCTGTTGCCACATTGTTTGCAGTTCTCATTTCCATGGCAGGAAATGCTCCCGATGCTCCACACTCTGGCCAACACTTGGTGTTGATAGGTTTTGATTTTTGCAAATTGAACGGGTATGAAGTAGTATTCCTTATGCTTTCAATGTGCATTTCCCTGATTATTATCATAATTGAGCATTTAAAAAAATATATTTTGGGGCCTTTTAGATTTCCTCTTTACTGAGGTGCCTGTTCAGATCTTTTGCCAATATTTTAATTTAGTTGTTTCTTTTTTTTTGAGTTGGAGTCTCACTCTATCACCCAGACTGGAGTGCAGTGGCCACTTCTGGCCACCGCAACCTCGACCTGCTGGGCTCCAGTGATCCTTCCGCCTCAGCCTTCCGAGTAGCCAGAACTACAGGCATGCGCTACCATGCCCGGCTGATTTTTTTGATTTTATTGTAGAGATGAGGTCTCACCAAGTTGCCCAGGCGGGTCTCGAACCTGTGGGCTCAGGCAGTCCACTCAGCCTCTCAAAGGCGCAGGATTATGGGCTGACCCACCGAGCCCGGCTGGTTGTTCTTTTTATACTGATTTATAGGAGTTCTTTATATTTTCTAGTCCTTTCAGTAATATATGTTGCAGATAACTCACCTCTGATTTATCTTTTGTTTTCTTTGTGGTGTTTATTGAAGGACAAAATTTCTTAAAAGGATAGTTTTTTTTTTGAACTTTTATGGTTAGTGCTTTTTGTGCCTTATTTAAGAAGTTCTTTCTTATCCCAAGGCCTTGTACATTTTCTTTGTTTTCTAAAACCTTTTACAGTTTTGTGTTTTGCACTTAGGCCTTTAACTAATTTGCAATTGACATTTTTTTTGTAGGTGATGGAAGCAGGGGTATATTTTCAGTTGTTTGCTTATAAATATCCACTTTTCCAGCATACTTTAACTAGTCTATTCTTTTTCTGTTCTTGTAAACACCACTCCTGTCCTATATATATCACATGCTGGTCCTGAGATAGACATGTGCATGTCTATGTGTATGTGTATGTGTGGCCCTGAGATAGAAATATACACATTCACTCTTCTGTTCCAGAGGGCTGGTAGTCTCTCTCCACCAAGCACACTATCCTTTTAGTATTACAATAAGACTCAATATCTGGTAGACCCTCCAGCTTTATTTTTCAAGCATGTATTGACTTTTCTTTGCTCTTTCATGTCCATATGAATTTTTGAGTTAGCTTATCACAAACTGAAATTCCCCCTCACACCCTCATGTATAGTCCTAGCTATTTGAGAGTCTGACACAAGGAGGATCTCTTGAGCTCAGGAGTCGGAAACTCTGGTGAGCTGTGATCATGCCGCTTCATTCCAACTTGGGCAACAGAGTGAGACCGTGGCTAAGAAAAAAAACAAAACAAAACTAGGTATCAATTTGGTAAAATTCTGTGTCATTAAATATAAAAGTCTTCTAAAAATAATCATAGAACATTTCTAATTAGTTATATCTTTAATGTTTTTTGGCAAAAACCTTGTGCATATATCTCTTACTAGATTTATTCCAAGATACTTCTTTTTTGTGCTATTATAAATGAAATATATATCATGATTATGTGTATATAATTTTATATATGTGGTTGAACCATATGAAATTGCTGTTTTTGCTTTAAAAAAATGGTCACATATTGGCAATTTCATATGGCTCAACCTCCTAATCATGGTGTGCTGGAATACAGAAACAGTTCATTTTAATACTGATTTGTGTCTAGCAGCCATGTTAGCAACTCTTACTTATCTAAGGATTTTTTTTTTTTGATTCTCTAATATACAATCATATACATTGTCTGTATGTAATGGCAATTTTGCTCCTTTTCTAATATTTTTTATTTTTTGTTTATTTTGATTGCTTTACGTGTTGGCTAGAACCTCCTGGGCAATGGTAGCTAGAAGTGGTGAAGATGGGCACCTTTATCTATGTCCCCAGTCTCACAAGGAAAGCTTTCAGCCTTTTACCGTTACATATTATGTTTGCTGTAGTGGTTTTTTTTTTTTTTAAACCTTTATCAGGTTTAAGGAGTCCCTGTAAATTCTGAGTTAACTAAAAGGTTGAGTTTTTTTCTTTCTTTTTAAAAATGATCAGTGGTAGTTGAATTTTATTAACTTTTTCCTGCATGTATTAAATAGTTCTATGATTTTTATCCTTTAATCTTTAATTTAGTGGTTATATTAATTAACTAATATTAATCCAAACATGGGGCTTGATATACCTTATAATTTTTACAAACTAGTAGGCTAGTAATTGTTTATAGTCTATATGTATATATTTTATATGTTCAGTATACCAGGGGTGCCAAAAAAAATGTATGCACATTTTAAGAGATGTTATCTATGTATTACTTTGAGTTTGCCATAATCAGAAGTGTCTGGACCCTAATAGTAACCACTTTGAGCACCTCTTATAATTGCAGAAGTCAAACGTGACTTGTGTTCATCTTTTAATTTTAATACAGTTTTTTCCTTTTTAAAAATGTGTGTACATTTTTGGCACCCTCTGTATATATTACATATAAATGTGTACATATGTGTGTATTTTTCTCATTTTGGCACATGAGTGAAACTGGCCCATTTTTTATTTTCTCATACTATTCTTGTGAGATTTTGGTATGCAAGTTTTGCCATTCTCAGACAAAAAGTTGGGATTGTTTCTTCTTTGTCTGATCCCTTGAGAAGTTCATATGATTTGTTTCTTGAATGATTGATACAGCTCACTGATGAAGCTGTTTGAATCTTTAGTTGTTTTTGTAGGAAGATTTTTGACTGCTGAGTCAATATCTTTGGTGATTAAAGGATAGTTAAAGGTTTTAGTTCATTACTGAGTTTATTTTGATACATTACCATTTATAAATTGACTAGGAATTTCATCTGAAATTTTACACTTGTTAGCATAAAAGTTGTTCATATTATCTTCTTAACTACTTAATATCTGTGGCATTTGTAATGATGTCTCATTTCTCATTCTTTTTTTTTTTTTAAGTTGGCGTTTAATGGTGGAGTGGACAAGGAAGAGCCAGACTCTTTTTTTTTTTTTTTTGAGTTGGAGTCTCACTGTGTCGCCCAGACTGGAGTGCAGTGGCACACTCCCAGCCAACGCAGCCTTGACTCGCTGGACTCCGGTGATCCTTCCGAGTAACCGGAATTATAGGCGCACACTACCACGCCTGGCTAATTTTTTTGCTTTATTGTAGAGATGAGGTCTCGCCAAGTTTCCTGGGCGGGTCTCGAACCCACAGGCTCAGGCAATCCACTCACTTCGGCCTCCCAAAGCCCTGGGATTACAGGCTGAGCCACCGAGCCCAGCCTTCTCATTCTTGATAATGAATATTGGTGCCTATTTTCTCTTTTTTACCAATTTTGTTACCTTTATAAAGAACCAATTTAAGGCTTAATAACCCTCTCTGTTTTCTGTTTTAATTTTTGCTTATTATTTTTTATTTTGTCATTTTGTGTTTTTACACCTTTTAGTGGGTCGTCAGCTCACTTATTTGCATCCCTTTCTAATGTAAGCATATCATGCTATACATTTCCTTGTATATAAGACACACATTTTTGTATAGTGTTTTCATTATTATTAACCAACATGCGTTCAGATTTCCATTTTTTTCCTTTGGTTTAAGTGTTAGTCTCTTTCTTCTAAACAAATGGGCTTTCTCTAATTATCTTTTTGTTACTGATTTCTATGTTACTGACTTCTAGCTTAAATGTGTTGTGAACATATATATATATATATATATGTATATGATTTAGATTCTTGGACATTTGATGAGACTTGTTTATGGCCCTGGGATATGGATGATTTTTGTAAATGTTATGAGTGTATGTTTTAAAATAGTGTGTATTCTGTAATTGTTGAGTACAATATTCTATTTTTGGTCACTAAATCAAGTTTTATATTGTTCAGATTGAATATATGTCTACTGACTTTTTAAATTAACTTACTCTGTTGTTTATCAAGAGAAGTGTCTTAAAATCTTCCACTATGATTGTGAAGTTGTTCATTTCTCCTTGTAGGTCTGTCTAGCTATTGCTTTCCATATTTTCAGGCTGTGTTATTGAATACAGATTTTAAATGGTTATTCATATGTTTCTTGTGAATTGAATCCTTTGTCATTATGAAATGACCCTTAATGACAGTCTATTAATATAGCTACACTTTTTTTTTGAAACTTGGAATCATTTGCCCATCTTTTTATTTTAAACCTTTTTTTAAAAAAATGTATGTGTGTACTTCTAGTTAGTTAATTTATTTGAGTCAGGGATCTTACACTGTCGCCCAGGCTGGAGTGAAGTGGTAGTATAATCATGGTTTACCACAGCCTCAACCTTCTAGGCTCAGGTGACCCTTTCACCTCATCCTCCTGAGTACCTGGGACTATAGGAATGTGCTTGGAATGGACTATGTCCAGCTAATGTTTTTACTTTTTTTATAGGTGAGTTTTTGCTGTGTTGCCTAGGCTAGTGTCTAACTCCTGGGCTGAAGCAGTCCTCCTGCTTTGACCTCACAAAATGCTAGGATTACAGGCATGAGCCACCGTACCCAGTCTAGCTTATCTATTTATTTTTGAGACAGGATCTCATACTGTCTCCCAGGCTAAAGTGCAGTGGCACAATCTTGGCTTACCCCAGCCTCCTCCTGGGCTCTAAGGATCCTTCCACCTCAGCCTCCCAAGTAGATGGGACTATAGGCATGCACCACCATGCCCAGCTAATTTTTGTATTTTTGATAGTTACTCAAATCTAAAGTAAATTCCTTTATCTTTAGAACACTTTAACTCCTTTTTCCACCTGACTTCCATTTTTACAGAACTGAGAGAAGATGGTTTCCAGCCTCAAACTTACCTAGTACAGGGAGTGAAAGCACTGCATACTGCTTTAAAATTATGGATGAAAAAAGAAGTAAGTCATTTTTTTTTTTTAATGTGACAAGATCAGGAAAACAGAGTCCTTATGCAATCTGGCAACACTTGTGAGTGCTAGTCATAGAGGGAATAGAAAATCATGCTTCAAGTACAGCCTGTATTTTATTATACAGTGCACACAAATGTACTGGTTTCTGTTTATATTTATGAGAATAAAGTACTTAGATATTTCTTTAATCTGGAAAAGAAAGTAACTCAAGTATGTTTAAAGTATTAACTAAGAAATGAACATGTAGATATAGAATAATAACAAATAACATCGAGCTCTTATAGTATGCTAAGCACTCTGCTTAATATTTATTCACACACTCTTATTTCATCCTCAGGCAACTATATGAGGTCTGGGTGCTATTGGTGCCCCATTCTACATATGGGAAAGCTGAGGTTCGGAGTTAAATAATTTACTCAAGAGAACTGGTGGAGCTAATACCTAAAGTTTAGATCTCTAGGATTGCAAAGGTTATGCTCTTTACCACTCTGCTAGGGTTTATGTAAAAATGAAGGAAAGAAGAGGTCAAGTTTCAAGCATGAGCTTTCCATTTTCATTAAGATGTGGTCCATTTGTTTGCCTTGGAATACCACCACCTCCAAGAGGCTGTCTCACATCTCCTTTGGGAATTAGTGTTTCTTTCCCTTACATTTCCATAGCATGTTTCTTGTGCCAATTGGCTTAAAACGAACATATCTAAAGATATAAAGTGATGTGTCCATGTCTGCTTTACTAGGTTTATGAGCTCTTGAAGAACAGGGACTGTCTTTCTCATCTTTATTTTAACTCATGGAACTTGGCACATAATACTTTAATAAATAATAAATATGTGAGCTGATGAAAGTACATGTCCATATTAATTTCTTGAATGTCCCTTTGAAATAAAAATCCTGCTCTTAAAAGATATTGGGAGACAGTAATTAACCTATTAAGGCTGCTGTCTCAATAATTTTATACTTTCTTTTACTTTATTATCATTGCTACATATCTATTAGAGTAAGGCATTAGAGAAAAGCATTCAGGAAAATAAAAAGCATGTCTTCCACTATCAAAGACTTTATCATCCAGATCAGGGATCCCCAACCAGACAAGTACCAGTCTGTGGCTGTTAGGAGCCAGGCTGCACAGCAGGAGGTGAGTGGCAGACCAGAGAGCAGAGCTCTGTCTTCTGTCAGAACAGTGGTGGCATTAGATTCTCATGGGAGCATAAAACCTATTGTGAACTGCACATGCGAGGGATTTAGATTGTGCGTTCTTTTTGAAAATCTTATGCCTGATGATACCCGCCGCCCCCCTCAACCCAGTCCCTGGAAAAATTGTCCTGATGCCAAAAAGGTGGGGGCCACTGCAATGACAAGAAAAGGCATAAGCAAATTTAAAACTATATTACAAAATAAAAATAAAGCCTTTGTTGCAAAAACTCTATAATTTGTTTCTTGCTAAAGACTTTAGACAGGTGATTATCAAATTTGTGAGTTTATCAGAATTGTCTTTAGAGCTTTTTTATAAAAACAAAACTCCTGGAGCCTCCTTTAAAGATTCTGATTTAATAGATCTAGGGTAAAATCTGAACCTCTGTTTTTAACAAACTTCATAGTTGATTTTGATGCATAGTAAAATTTTTTATCAATTATGAATACTGTTAATACATTACACTTGCAGTGCATTTTTAAAAGCATGATGTTTACATTTACTGTTAAATTTGCTCTGAGAGGCAGCTCAGCATAGTGGTTAATTAAGAGCATGGATTCTAGAGTCATGTTTGGAATCAAATCTTAGCTTTGCTCCTGCTAAACTAGCTTCTGACTTTGGGCAAATTATCTAATTTCTGTGTCTTAGTTTCCTCAATTATAAAATGGGAATAAAAGCATTTATGCCATAGTGTTGTTGGAAGTATTAAATGAGTTAGCACTTGTAGAGTATTTAACAGTATCAGAGCACAGAGTTAACACTTAATATTATTGTTGTTATTAATTTGTTTTAACAAATGATACGAAAACCAAGTAGAAGTTATAAAGGAAAAGTAGGAACTAAAGTGTCGAGTGTGTTTAAAAAACCAAAATGTTCTTAGATATAGAGATTAGAATTTGGAAATAAACATAATAAATAATGACAGTGATTTGCAGCTCATTAATTCCCCTTTCCTATTCATGGGACCTTTTTGCTATTTTGCTTTTCACTATTAAAAAAAGTGTTACAAAAATTTATTCAAGTTAGACTTTCTAGAGAAACTAGAATTAATGTTAGTGCCTGTGCTCCCCTTAAAAATCTTTATGCATTATAACCTGGGCCAGGTAGCCCATACCTGTAGTCCAGTACTTTGGGAGGCTGAGGTGAAAGGACTGCTTGAGTCCAGGAGTTCCAGACCAGCATGGGCAACATAGGGAAACCTTGTCTCTACAAAAAAAAAAAAAAAAATTAGCCAGTCATGGTGGCTCATACTTGTAGTTCCAGCTACTTCGGAGGCTGAGGTGGAAGAATCGTCTGAGCCCAAGAGGTTGAAACTGGTGAAATGTGATTGTGCCACTGTACATCAGCCTGGACAACAGAGTGAGACCCTGACTAAAAAAACAAAAACAAAAACAAAAAAACTTTATGTATTATGAATTAAATGGTAGACATAATTATTTACTAATTAGTGGTAGTTAGAATTACGGTAGACTTTGAGGCGTAGAGTACAAGGTTATTACATCTAAAGCAGAATTCACTGTGAGACAAGTCTATCTTTAAATTAACCTGAGAGGTTTTTTGTTTCAAGTCAAGGTCTCACTGTCACCTGCAGTGCAGTGGCACAATCACAGCTTACTACAGCCTTGACTTCCTGGGCTTAGGTGATCCTTCTGCCTCAACTTCCCAAGTAGCTGGGATTACAGGTGTATGCCACCATCCTCAGCTAAGTTTTACAATTTTTTTGTAGAGATGATGTCTTGCTATGTTGCCTAGATTAGTTTCTAACTCTTGGGCTCAAACAGTCCTCCCACCTCAGCCTCTCAAAGTACTGAGATTACAGGCATGAGCCACTGTGCCTGGCCTAAGAGGAATTTATATATTTGATGAGACTCTCCTTAGAAGGTATTATACCAACTACATGAATTCTAAGAGCTTACTAATAGTATTTGACTATGTCTAAAAGTCTAAAGAACCAAAAATTGATTTAGTAAATTAGTTTTTACGATGTTAAAGTGTAACTAACTTTGGTTTTCTTGTCTTTGTTAATCCAAATACAGCTTGTATCTGAACATGCCTTTGAGATTCCAGACAATGTTAGACCTGGACATCTTATTAAAGAACTTTCTAAAGTAATTCGAGCAATAGAGGTAAGAGTAGAAACTATCGTCTGCTTGGTTATTATTTAGTTTGAGATGCAAATGGATCTACTCCGTACTACAAACATTTGAAAACCCTAATATACTTAGAAGAAATAGAATGAGCTGAGTATTAGATGAATTCTCAGGTTTTCAGGCTTCTAAAATACTAGAGAGAGATTTAGAATATTGTATTGTAATGAAGTAATAAGGAAGCAGTTACCGGATTCGTTCAGGTTACTTTAAAAATAAATGCAGAATAAACAATACAACTTTCAGATCCAGTTAATTTCACCTACCCAGAGATGAATACATGTTAAGTAATTAGAGCAAGAAAAAAAATGTAAGATGGGTAAGTAAAGCTAGGGAAGCTGGGCTGGAGAGAGGGATGATGTTAGAGGGCGGGGCAAGGAGATCATGATTGAAAGCATTAGAGCAGCTTGGCTAGGTTGATGCCTTTGATAAAAGCTCATAAAATCTGTGAGTAAGTGTTTTAATGATTAATTAAGAGCTATTCTAGGTGTTTAAGGAAAGATGTTTCAATTAAAGTAATTTTTCAGGAAGGTAGTTCTGTTAGTGTTTGACTTGAATTGAGAGGAGATTAAGTGGGAGAATGGAAGCCAACTGACAGTTTAACAATTTACAATAGGGCTGTGTTTCGGGAATGGGAAGCAGCATACATCTAAGAAGTATTAAAAGGCTTAGTTTTAGTGTCCATGAATAGACTAGTTCATGTAATTCTTGTGTGTGTGTGTGTGTGTGTGTGTGTGTGTGTCAGTGTGTGTCAGAGTCTCACTCTGTTGCCCAGGCTGTAGTGCAGGCATGATCACGGTTGCCACAGCCTCGCCCTGCTGGGCTCAGGCAATCCTTCCACCTCAGCCTCCCAAGTTTCTGGGACTACAGGTGTGTGCCACCACACCCACCTAATTTTTTTGTTTATTGTAGAGACCAAGTCTCACCAAGTTGCCCAGGCTGGTCTTGAACTCCTGGGCTCAGGCAATTCTCTTGCCTCGGCCTCCCAAAGTGCTGGGATTATAGGCATGAGCCACTGCGCCTGACCCAGTTATCTGTTTTTATTTTTATTTTTTAATTTTTTTTTTTTTTGAATTGGAGTCTCACTCTGTCGCCCAGACTGGAGTGCAGTGGCATGCTCCCAGCCACCGCAGCCTCGACCTGCTGGGCTCCGGCGGTCCTTCTGCCTCAGCCTTCCAAGTAACTGGAACTACAGGTGCATGCTACCACGCCCAGCTAATTTTTTGATTTATTGTAGAGATGAGGTCTCGCCAAGTTGCTCAGGGGGAGTCTCAAACCCGCAGGCTCAGGCAATCCCCTCACCTCAGCCTCCCAAAGCGCAGGATTACAGGCTGAGCCACTGAGCCCGGCTAGTTTTCTGTTTTTGAAGAGTGATAGTAATCAATATAAATGGATTTAGTATTAAAAGTCATATATCCAATCTTAAATATATAGGTAAGTGTATACATATATATATCTCATGCATGCTAACAACCAAAACTAACAAAACTAAGAATAAACTCAGTAAGAAAGGTATGAGTCTATATGAGAAAAATTATAACTCTTTCCTATGGGAAGTAAAACAATAATTAAATAAATGAGAGTGTCATTTCTGAAAATATATGAACTCAAAATTAAAATTACAAATTTAAAGTAATAAAATATACCTGGAAGAATAATTGGACTGGCCCAGAGAGCAGCCAGTCCAAGATGGAACTGTTACTTGTTACTTAAAATTCGAGGTTCACTGGGTGTCTTGTACTTTATCTGGCAATGCTGTCCTGGAGGGATGTCGTCAAAGAAAAATATAAATTGATAAATTACTCAATGTGTTTGAACATTTGCATACTTCTAGTGGAGAATTTGAGGATCACTTAGTGATAAATACGTAGACAACAAAGCAGATGGGAAGCGAGGCAATTATAACTCAAGGAAAAGCCTAAGGATATAAAAGAAAGGAATGTAATAGAATGTTATGTGATGCTGAATTATTGATCATTTTTACTGAGTCCAATTTAAATATTGAATTTTGAAGGAAAGGGAAGTATGTATGTGTTTAGAGGAGGTATGCAAGCTGAAACCAGTATAAACATGTTGTTTAGAAATTTGGAGGCAGATAACTGGGGGAAAATGCACAGAAGAATTGCAAGTCCTGGGTATATACCCAAAATAATTGAAAGCAGGGACTCAAACAGTTATTTGTACCCACATGTTTAGAGTAGCATTATCCATAAGAGCCAAAGATGGGCCAGGCAGCCCAAGTGTCTATCAGTGGATGAATGGATAAGCAAAATGTGGAACGTATATGCAATTGGCTATTATTCAGACTTACAAAAGAAGGAAATTCTAATATATACGCCAACATGGATGAACCTTGAAGTTATTTTGCTGAATGAAATAAGTCAGTCACCAAAGGACAAATGTTACATAATTCTACTTGTACGAAGTTCCCAGAGTTGTAAGATTCGTAGAAGAGCAAGTAGAATGGTAGTTGCTAGGGGCTGGTGGGAGGGAAGAATGGGAAGTTATTGTTTAGTGGGTATAGCTTCAGTTTGTGCAGATGAGGTAGTTCTGGAGATGGAGGAACAACAGTATGAATGTCCTTAATACCACTGAACTGTACACATAAAGATGGTTAAAATGGCAAATTTTGTTATGTGTGTGCTACCACAGGAAAAAAAAAAGTTGCAAATGGTTGCCTCTGGGTATAGGGAATCAGGGATGAGGACGCTACTTTTCATAATAAGCTTATGGAGTATTTAATTTTTAAAATTACACAAATGTGTGATGGTTTAAAAGGAATTACTGATTTATGCAATTACGTATGTGGAAATAATGTTAATTGTGGGAAAGAATTGGAAGCAACCTAAATTGCTACCAGTGGGACTGTAAATTATGTTATCTCTGTACAGTGGAATATAACACAACCTTGAATATGATGTTGAAAATCAGGGAAATATGTTCACAGTGTGATATGTTGAAGAGAGAAGGAAATAGAGGTCTCAGCAAAGTTGTTTGAGGCTTATGGTTTGGTCTTATTTTGTTTATATGACTAAACTGAGTGGTTTTTGTTTTCTAAAATATTTTTATGTATGACTGTTTAATCAGGTATGTATATAACAGTCTTGTCATAAAAATACTCTAATGTTCATTCTTAAAGGAGGAAAATGGCAAACCAGTTAAATCTCAGGGAATTCCTACTGTGTGTCCAGTTTCACGATCCTCAAATGAAGCAACTTCCCCATACTGTTCCCGACGAAGGATGAGGAAACTTCGAGATCATAATGTCCGGACTCCTTCTAACCTAGATATCCTAGAGCTCCACACAAGGGAGGTCCTCAGAAGATTGGAGATGTGCCCATGGGAAGAGGCAAGTATTATGATTCATGGTAACGAAAAGAAACTTGGTTGTTCCTTAGAGGGTAATAGAAAGAGAACAGTCTGATTATTCTCGTTATCTAATCTTTGTTGTAGAATTGTAGGTGTCAGCCAATAGTTGACCTGTGACAAGGAGCGGTGCTTAATCATTCTGTTTCTCAGTGTAGAATAGGCCTCATTCATTTGCTGACGTGTTTTAAGTATTTACCAAGTACCATGTGCCCTTCTAGGCTCTGGAGAAGATGCCAGAGTTAGCAAAACAAGTCCTTGCCATCATGAAGCTTCCATTCTAGTTCAAGTTGGAAGGATGGGGAGACAGAGACATATACTAAGATAATATAATTTCAGATAAGTGTGATGAAGAAACCTAAAACAATAGAGCAGTAGAATGAAGAGGGAATGGGATAGCTGGCTACTTTAGCTAAGGTGACCAGAGAGCCTCTCAAATTTGAACTGACAGATAACATGAAGAAGTCAAATGGACACAAGGGACTTGAAGAATAGCATTGCATAGAGAGAAGAGAATACAGAAAGCCTGGGCTTGAGCCAATAGTATCAGCTTGGGTGACTGTTAAACTGGAAGACTGTTAGACAAAACTTTGTAAAGTTGGAAGATTGCTAGTCCTCTGTCCTACTGGACAAAGAGGAGAGTGGGAAGTAATGAGATCAATGTAGCACTTTCGCAAAACATGGTAATGAGTTTGTGGTGAAATCTGTGTCATTCACAACTTAACATTTTAAGTAGAGGATAGGCAGTAATTGAAAATGAATAAAATAGAAGAGCCAGACATGGTGGGCAAGCCTGCAGTCTTAGCTACTCGGGAAGCTGAGGCAGGAGGATCACTTGAGCCCATCTTCCCTTGCCAGTTTGACGCCAACCTGAGTAACATAGACCCCGGCTCTAAAACAAACAAACAAACAAACAAATAAATAAAATGAGATAGGAGTATCTCAGAATTAAAAAAAATATATGTTTTTGAGTTGGAGTCCCATTCTATCACCCAGACTGGAGTGCAGTAGCACAATCATGGCCCCAGCAGCCTTGACCTGCTGGACTCTGGCAATCCTTCTGCTTCCGCCTTCCAAGTAGTTGGAACCACAGGCATGTACCACCATGCCCAGCTAATTTTTGGATTTATTGTAGCGGCGAGGTCTCACCAAATTGCCCAAGCTGGTCTCAAACTCCTGGACTCAGGCAGTCCTCTTACCTCTGCCTCCCAAAGTGCTAGAATTATAGGCGGGAATTAAATTCACGACACCTAGTGCGAATTAAAATATTTTTTAAAGTTATATAGAAATTATAACTTTCTTAAATATTTTAAATTTTATATAATTACATTGCTTTAAGATTATATTGTTCTTGGCCAGACTCGGTGGCTCAGCCTGTAATCCCAGCACTTTGGGAGGCCAAGGCGAGTGAACTGCTTGAGCCCGCAGGTTTGAGACCCGCCCGGGCAACTTGGCGAGACCTCGTCTCTACAATAAATCAAAAACTAGCTGAGCATGGTAGCGTGCGCCTATAGTTCCAGCTACTTGGAAGGCTGAGGCGGAAGGATCGCTGGAGCCCAGCAGGTTGAGGCTGCAGTGGCCGGGAGTGTGCTGCTGCACTCCAGTCTGGGTGACAGAGTGAGACTCCAACTCAAAAAAAAAAAAAAATATTATATTGCTCTAAACCTTCTTAACTCACATTCACTGGAGAAGGTTTAGCTTATTATGAAAGGTTTTATTTATTAATAAAAGCAAAATTACCATGAAAAGGGAATCTTTTTTATACATTAAGAATTAGCTATACCTTTGCCCCTAGTGATAGCCACGTGGAGACTAGGTATTAAATGAAGGGTAGGTATTAAGTGAAGGGTAGGGTGAATAACAAGGCCCAGTAACTAGCATTTCAGCAGGAAGAGGCAAGGGAAGAGAGATGAAATACCTGAAGGCAGTGCTGCTCTGCTTTTCAGCTTTCTGCAAGAATGAAATTCCTTTGAATTTGCCCTATGCACATTTTACATTCCACTTTATTGGAGGTATTTTCTTGTTAATGGCCCTCCAGAAAGATGAACCATAGTCTTGCTTTGGTTCTGGGAACTCTGGAGTGCCGTACTGCTGCATACCACTAAGCCCAGGTGGCTGCCTGTCACTCCCAGAGGGAGGTGGTGTAGTATACTGTATTCCTGCAGTCAAGCAGGGCTGTCTGAGGGTAGAGGTTAAGTAAGTTCTGCTTTTATACTTTCAGGACATCTTGAGCTCTAAACTGAATGGAAAATTTAACAAACATCTCCAACCATCTTCCACGGTACCTGAATGGAGAGCAAAGGATAATGATCTACGATTACTGTTGACAAATGGAAGAATCATTAAGTATGTAAATTAGATCAAAGTATCAAGTAGATTAATTTTAAGTGGATTCCCTTTGTTCATTTAATTAATTAATTTCCTAGTCTATAGTATTGTATAATTGACTGAAATACAGGGATAACTTCAATTCTCTATAAATTAAAGAGGAGAAGAATACTGTTTGGCAACATAGACTTGTACTGTTTTCTGACTTGATTATTTTTCCTTCATAATACAGAGATGAAAGACAGCCCTTCGCAGATCAGAGTCTTTATACAGCAGATAGTGAAAATGAAGAGGATAAAAGGAGGACAAAAAAGGCAAAAATGAAGATAGAACAGAGTTCAGGAATAGAGGGGGTGGAAAACGAAGAATCTCAAAAACCACTTAACAGTATGTTTGTTTTAATGGTCATTTAAAAATATCTGTTCATTACTCATGTGATATATGAAAAGTAACTTGCTAATTTTAAAGTTCTAGTAGTAGGATTGAAAATTATTCTATTCTTAATGCTGTTGTAAAAAAAAAAAATCTGAAGTATGTCTGAGGAGTTCACCCACCAGGGAAGTACTGAATGAGAATGCCACGTGAGGAGGGAGTGTCAGTCAGGGATGATGGGGCTGTGTGTGAGAGTTCCTGCTAGTCAGTTCTTAAAGTGACATGAACACTCATATATATTATGGGCCTCTATTCCCCAAAAATAGTTTCACATTTAATGCAACTTTATGGATGCTTTTAGCTAACATATATACGAGTTTCAGAGTTAAGGAGATACAGATAATTGACTGATTTGAAGCTGTTAGTAATCCATGTATTATGGTTTTATTTGATTGCCTGTTGACAAGAAAGCCTCTATCTGGTTATTAATTGGTTATCATCAAAGTAGTAATGCCTCTTTCTCCTTGAGATCTTTCTTCTTTAAACAAAGTCTTAATTTCTCAACATTTTTCAGGACCCCTCCATATATCCTTCTATTTTAAACAGTAGATATAATACATATCTTGGCACTTGACAGATAAGTGTTTCCAGTAACTAACATTATCTCATCCATGTCGAATTCCTCAGTTCCTACGAATCCAGGTACATTTGGCACTGCTGGGGTTGGTGACCTGCCCCTGGGCACATGCAAAGAGAAAGGCACTAATCAGTAGGAGTCCACCAGACAGCTACTTTGGGGCAGGGCCATCGTGGCAGAGAAATCCCGGTCTATAAGCTTGTTGACTATATTAAATCTAGATGGATGCTTTTTGGGTTTAGGAACGTTATATGTGTGTGTGTGTGTGTATTTTTTTTCTCTAGTGAATGTTGTGTGTGTGTGTGTGTGTGTGTGTGTGTGTGTGTGTGTGTGTGTGTATTTTTCTCCTAGTGATAGAACTAATGCAAAAGGAGAAGTGAAAAGCATCTTGTAGCTAATTTTAGTTTGGGAATTTTTGGGGGAGGAGGGAAAAGAAATATAAAATAGTCACCCCACCCAAATAAGGAATATTAATCATGTTTAATGAATACCACACTTAAGTTTAAGAACATCCTTCAGTCTGTATCTTGGTCAGTTAGGCAGAAAGACCCTGAGGGGAGAAAGAAATGGAGAAAATAAAAGTGAAAAAGGATAGAGCAGGAGAGATTGAGATATCACAAAGCTCAGTGGACTTTAGAGATCACCTTGTTACCTTGTTCATTAAATTCTAATGACTTATTCTTTACTCTCATCCTTTTTTTCTCAGGGTTTTTTACATGTGTGAAATCAGAACTCAGTAATAGATCATCAGGATATTCTGATATTTCTGAGTCAGAAGATTCTGGACCAGAGTGCAGTACACTGGTATGCCCAAAACCCTTTGACTTGTATATTATTGATGGAAAGATGAATATCCCTGTATGTTCACCTGAAAGGAAGGCAAATGCCAGCTTTTCCCAAAGCTTGTCTCGCTGACTACATAGCACAGGATCACCCTGTGGTGGTCATTGTCCACACGCACTGTCAAGTGACTATTCACATTTGAGAAACATAGCTTTTGTCTGATTTTAGAAAGGGGGGAGGGAGAGATTTCTCTGCTTATACTATTCTTCTGTTTTTCATATTTCTCATAGGTTGTATTTAATTTTACCTGAAAGAGTGCCTGTACTGTGTGCTTGTTATTGAAGCGTAGTATGTTCCTTTAGTTAATAGAGATTTTCACTTCTCCTTGTGAAAATACAGAAATAATTCGTGATAATTAAGATTCTGACTTTCCCTAGATGTATAAAGTATTTTGGACTAGTTTGTGCAGACTTGGTCAATTTTTTATGCAGCTCTGTTTCCATTCATTCATCTCAGAAAATTAATTTTACCACTGAAGAGTCTGAAAGTTCAGGTGATGAAAAGAAACAAGAAATAACATCAAACTTTACAGAGGAATCTAATGTGATGAGGAACTTCTTTCAAAAAAGCCAAAAGCCATCTAGAAGTGAAATTCCAATTAAAAGGTAAACTTGCTGATGATCATTGTGTTACTGCATTGTGATATAAATGCTATGAAAACATTAAAAAAATTTTTTTTTAATTTTAGATTCAGAGGGTACTCATCCATATTTGTTACAGAAAACTTTTTTTTAGCTTTAAATGTTACCAAAAATGTCATCAGAAAAATTATACTCTAGTTTTTTTGGATCGTCTGCTCTTTAGGGAATGTCCTACCTCGACGAGCACAGAGGAAGAAGCCATTCAGGGCATGCTGTCCATGGCAGGGTTGCACTATTCCACATGTTTACAAAGGCAGATGCAAAGCACAGACTGCAATAGGGAAAAAAGCTCTCTTCAGGATCCCAGCAGCTGCCACAGCAGTAACCATGAGGGTAAGTACTTGTATCACTATGATAAACCAGTAGAATATGGTAAAAAATGTCAGTTATCAGTCTTTAAAAAGTAACATATGGCGCTCAACTTAATAGCCAGTAATCTTAGTTTAGGTTATAGATTATGAATAAGGATTGTTCATTACACATCTTTAGTTGGGAATGATGTTAAGAATTTTGACCAAAAAATACATAATGCTGACAAGTCATGTAAAATGGAAGCAGAAGAACTCAAAATATAAATTACCTGACATCAACAGTTGTGTTTAGTGGCATCATTCTCCCATTATTGTTGCAAGACAGTTAATCTTAGTTCCCTTTCATCAACAGTTAGGTTGATCAGAGTGGAAGGAATGTTTTGTTGCCTTAAATTATCTATTAAACTTGAACAATCAACTATTTTTCTTTTATGAGCAGTAGAACAAGTTTTGAATGGTTTTTCTTTTCTTCTGATTGAGACTATTCTTTCTCCTACTTGAGAAGGAAGTATTAGGAAAAGAGAACAGACTTAATGGCAATATCAGGCATGCCACATATTGTTTTCTTCTCTGTGCCTTCAGGGAACATTTTTGTTTCCCCAAAAGTCTGAGGAGGATTGGGGAGAAGACAGTACTGCATTCAAATTGGATGCCTGTGTCATACTTGTGGTTCCATACCATATAATTGCCAACTGTGTACTAGGGCTTGGCATCCATTTCAGTTAATTATTATTATTATTTTTTGAGTTGGAGTCTCACTCTGTCGCCCAGGCTGGAGTGCAGTGGCACGCTCATGGCCACCCCAGCATCAACCTGCTGGGTTCTGGCGATCCTTCTGCCTCAGCCTTCCAAGTAGCCAGAACTGCAGCCACACGCTACCATACCTGGCTAATTTTTTTATTCTTATTTATTGTAGAGATGAGGTCTTGCCAAGTTGCCTGGGCTGGTCTCGAACTCACAGGCTCAGGCAGTCCATTCACCTCGGCCTCCCAAAGTGGTGGGATTACAGGCTAAGCCACCGAACCCAACCTCAATTAATTCTTAAAACAACACTTATGGTATAGGTAAAGTCACTCCCATTTTACAGGTAAAGGAAATAAGATTTAGTGAAATGAATTTAACTTGCCCACACTTTACATAGCTTTTACTCAATGGTGTTGAAATTTGAACTTAGGATCACCAGATCTCAAAATCTTTGCTTATTGTATAAGAGGAAACTATTGTTTGGAGAGGATAAATAACTCCAAAAGTTGTATTGGTAATGGAAGAACTCAAATTCATATCTGGATATGTCTGTCTTTCCACTGTGTCATTTATGTCTTCCTGTGATCTCTTTGGTCTCTTGACAAGAAAGCTTTTATGGAAATACTACAAAATTTAGGCAAACACTTGCCTTTATTCTATATGAGAAAATATACCAATTTTAGTGAGAGTATACTACATTTGGTTTCACATATACAGTAGTGCCATAGAATTTGATTCTAGATCTCCAGCATCTGGCTCAAAACCTTGTATATAAAGTCTTTGAGGCTGGTCTAAGTGCAGTGGTGTTTACAACTAATTGATCACAGTCACTTACAGATTTCATTGTTACTTCTCCATTGCTTCACTTGACTAGCCTTAAAAAAAAAATGAATGATTAAATAAACACAGTCTTTGAGAAAATTGGAAGAATTAGTTGTGAGCTGATGATTATTTTGTATTTGTTTTTGAGAGGGAAACGAATATAGTGAAGGTGAAGGTATATGAATAAATAACTAAAAGAGTTAATGTATTTTAAAATAAAATGTCAGCATAACTTTATTTCCATTTTAAGCATTAGGCTAATTTTGCTATTTCAGATAAAGTTTGTACAAAGATAATTTAATTAAAACTTATCTTTAGGATACCATGTCAAGACAGAAGATCAAGACTTGAGGACTTCTGCCTGGATTAAGCAATTTGATACTTCCAGATTCAATCCTCAGGTATATTCAAAGTTTAAAACATTAAAATGAGATTTAAAATTGTCATTAGCTCTGTTTTTTTAAACTGTAACAACTGTTTATTAACTGTTAGGTATATGAAGCCAAAAAATTACAGTTAGATGTATATTTAAACAAGTGTCCATTTTTAGGGATTCTGATATGTAAGACTCATCAGTAGATGTGATTTAGAAGAGACTAATTTATTGAAGGAAGTAGTTAACCACTGGCTGGTCAGAATGAAACATGAAAGGAAAAGAATACCACGAAGATCTTTTTAATCTTGATATTTCTTGAACATGTTTAGAGACTAAATTTTTTTTGAGAATTTGATGAAAGTTACAGATTTTCTTCCCAGAAAAATTTTCATGATAAATACTAACTACTTTTGCTTACATTTTCTCACAGTTTGTGCTGTTACCCTAGACCATCCATTGACTGCAGGTTAAGAGCCTCTCCTTTAAGAGAAGAAACTAGATGTTTTAGAATCCCAGCATATTAATACTTACCCCAAACAACATGAACCCAAAATAGCATGTTTTAAAAATCAAAACTTTGGGAGGCTGAGGCAGGAAGATCTCTGAGGCCAGGAGTTCAAGACCAGCCTAGGCAATATACAAAGACCTCCAATTCTACAAAAATTTTTAAAAATTAAAAACAACCACCAAAAAACTTTACTGACAGTGCCAAACAAGGAAAATGATACAACCTGTTGAGGCAAACCTCAGAAATAGCAGCCAAAGAAAGAATCAAAATTCTTATGTAGGCCAGGCATGGTAGCTCAGCCTGTAATCCTAGCTAGCATAGGCCGAGGTGGAGGATCACTTGAGCAAGTCTAGGAGTTTGACCACCCTGAGCAACATAGCAAGACCTCATCTCTATAAACAATAAAAAAATTAACCGAGCATGGATTGCCTAAGCCTAGGAATTCAAGGGTGTCATGAACTGTGATTGTGCCACTGCCCTCCAGCCTTGGCAACAGAGTGAGACCCAGGCTCAAAAAAAACCCCAAAAAACTCTCATGCAACAGAGTAGGGTCCTAAACCTCCCAACCCCAAGCATACTTAAGAAAGAAAGTGAATCAGCAAAAGCAGAACTATTGTCCCTACATCTCTCTAGTATGAAGAAACATATGGGCAAGGGGAGAGAAGGGCATGAGCAGGCAGTGGAGAAATGAAGGGGAAATCTCTTGTGAATAAAGCTGTTTGCATAGCATTGAGATACCTCAGCAGAAGTGGGAAGGGCACCTAGGCCTTGCTATCTTCCAGAGCCCTGGGCTCGTTGGAGCTGTAGACTAAAACCCCTGGAGGAGGAAGTGTCTGTGAATATAGACAGAAGAGACAGTAAGATTATGCTCCTTAGCACAGAACATGATTAGTCTGAGTATTAGTTTTTATTTTCTTTATTTGGCATATCTGCATTTTTACTTAGAATAGTAACTATTTTATTAAACTTAATTGTATTACCATATTACATATTAAATATGCCAAATGTTTATTGCTAAATATTTAGAAAAAGAGCCAAATTGCTTTTTTAAAGCATTGTGAATACATGTTCTCTGAATAGAAGGATGTGCTCCAGAGTCAAAGATTAGGTCAGAAATCCCTTCTCTGGCACAATTCACTTGTTCAGTGTATGATTTTACAGTGCCTTGTGGTAGATAGTCACAATGATCACATATTAGCATTATAGGATTCAGCACTAAAAAATAAGCTATTATTTAAATCTGGGTATTATTTTTATAATTGTCTTTGAAAATAAATGAAGAAGTAGAGGACAGATGATTAGCGAGACTCACAGAAATTAAATTTCCATTGCCTATACTTTAGGTGGGTGTTATAATAGCATGCCAAATCATACCAGTTGTTTCTTCATGCTCAAGATTATTTGTAAGACGAATTTAAAGCAAGTCTGTGTTTAATACTGTTTTTGAAACATACTTGATCATGACAAAGTCAGAGGTATTTTACATCTCTCACATACATGTGTATAAAACTAGTTTCATGAAACATCACACTGTAGTATACCCTTCTCATGTCTAGTCTACTCCTTTCTCTTTTTAATGCTACTCATGATCCTCGCAGCTGATTTCAAGACTTACCAATCAGTAGCATTTTTTTCCCCCTGAAAGTTTATTCAACAGTCTTAGAGACTGAGAGCAATTATAGTTAAAGAAAAAAATCAAGCTTGGGGCTCTAGATCTAAGGACTTTCTACCAAACAAACAGAGTGGAGATGAACTTTATGGAAGTTAGGGTCTAAAAAAGAAAATTATAACATGAGAGCAGTGGCATGCTCAGAAAGCCGTCAGTCTATTCCACCTGTCTCAGGTTCCCACCATGGCACAGGCTCACTAAGTGGAATGGCAGGCAGGTGCCTCTGCTTGTTTAAATGGTCTTCTCTCTCATTTCTTCTTAACTTAAAGTTATAACATAACTTCAAGACCTGAATCCTTCATAGCTGTTAGGTTTATGGCCTAAAATGACCATCATGAAGAAGTAGTTATCTGTGGCCAATGAACATTAAGAAAACCAAAATTCAGTAGTTGATTTCTTCTTTCTCTTGACTTTGCTAATGCCTGCATAGTGTAGATATCTCATTTACCTTAAACCCTAAAAATTCAGCCTCGTTTCCTTCCTCCTCCTTCAGGATTTAAGTAGAAGCCAGAAATGCATCAAAAAGGAAGGTTCATCAGAAATCAGTCAGAAGGTACAAAGTAGGAATTATGTGGACAACAGTGGTTCAAGCCTTCAGAATGGAAAGTATATGCAGAATTCCGGCTTGATTTCAGGGGCTTGCCAGATAAGTAATGGCAGTCTAAGCCCAGAAAGGCCAGTTGGTGAGACTTCCTTCTCAGTACCCCTTCATCCCACTAAGAGACCGGCATCAAATCCACCACCTATCAGCAACCAAGCAACAAAAGGTAACCTTTACACACTTGCAGATGAAATATATTTCAGTGTGTAATGGTAATGGTAATCCTGGCAGTTTAGATGTAGTCTCTGTACTCAGTTGCTCACCATGGTGATGGTAGTATACACAGGCTACTATGGGGATAAAGAAGAAGGATACCTAAGTCAGCCCTAAGGATCAGGAGTAGCTTTCTGAGGATCAGGCAGGACCTTAAAAAAAAAAGGGTTTAGGCAGGCTGAGTTGGAGAAGTGACAGAATAGACAGAATGGATGGCACAAAAGGGAGGCGCAAGATATGGGGTGTTTGTGAGATTGCAGTCCGTTTTGTTGCCAGAGTAGTTCGATGCAGGATAGGAAGAGTTCAGGCTGCAGAGCTAGGCAGGGGTCAGACGGTGGGAGGGCCCTGTAAGTCTTGTGAAGGAGGTTGGCCATTACTGCTGGCGTGATCACGTGGAAGGGTTTTGAACAGTGCAAGGCCAGAAGTGTGTCTTTGTCCATACAGAACACCTAGAGGACTTGTTTACCAGAAAGCTCTCACTGTAGCCTTCCAGGTGAGTCACTTATGCTTTTCATTATTATTTACACTATTGTTGGTGTTTTACAGGTAAACGTCCAAAAAAAGGAATGGCGACAGCCAAACAGCGTCTTGGGAAGATCCTCAAATTGAACCGAAATGGCCATGCACGTTTCTTTGTGTGACAGAGCCGCTGTCGCAGCGCTTTTCCCATTGGAGACCAGTCTTGGGGCTGCAGGAGCCTGGAGCTTCCACCATCCCCCTGCCTGGAGTAGTTTGTGTGTACAGTAAGAACACTGCCTGAGGACAGAATGAACCTGATGCTGCATTTTCACTGTGCCACACCCACTCAGCAATAACCATTTGGACCTGGTGGGGGAGAGGAAGAAGGAGGGTAGATCCTTAAAAAGAGACCTTGAACTGGAAAGGGTCTCTTGTCAGGGCTTGAATTTCATTTTGTTGTTGGTAGTGTCTTGATTTATTTTCAATGGTAGAGTAAAGAATTATCAATAATTTATTTAACAGATTTTTTTAAAGTTAACAGCTTTTAAATTCTTTCTTTTTTAAAGCTATTTATTTGGAAGATTTCTGGAGAAATATCTCACTAATTTAGATTTAAGAATGTGAAGGTTTTTAAATTATTTTTGATAGTGTGTGTGTTACATGTGGGGAAGAGCCACGGTAACGGTAACTAGTCTGGACTCTTAAATTTGATATTCAGGTTAAAGTCTTAAACAGGGATTTGATGCATTAATTATTTTAAATTAAGATGTATATGAAAATCATTTTATTTTATATATTTCATGTGTTTTTTATAAGCTATTAGCTTCGCTTTTGCTAACATCCAAGGTGCATACTGTTATCCAGGTTGATTACCTTATATCCCACCTTCTCTCTGCACTCCCCTTCATTTTGTGACGACCCAACAAGACTCTTCTCTTTGCAGGGAAACACTTTCATAGCCAATGTGTAAGAACTCCATAAAAGATCCCTCATTTCTCATTTCGTTTAACATTGTAATTTTCTTCGAAATATAAAAAAAAAGGCTTCTTGCATTTTTATTTCTGCTGATAATATCTGGGTCCCAAAGAGAACAGCTTTAATATCTTTTTCCTACTTGTGGGAAAAGTATTATAAGTTTGGTTAAGTTGTCATGTTTGTAGTTTTTCCAAATACATTTGTAACTACAGAGGGCCTTCTTCATGCTGCTGGTATTGGAGAACAGGACCAACACCTGCTGCAGAGGTTATATCTTACCACGCTTTTGTTCTCTATACCTAATTTGTTGGAAAATATAATTTGACTTAGGATATTCAAATCTGCATAATAAGCCGTTAATACAATAGGATTATACTATGTTCAGTTGTACAGAAGCAAGCATGTTGGAGTAGATATTTTGTGTGTGTTTATTTTTTTTTTTAACCTTTTAAAGAATTATTTAAGATATGGATTTGGAGTACAATGGGTGCTTTTTACAGTTTCTTCCATCTATCCTAACTTGACCATAACATATTGAGGTTAAATATCTGGATGAACTTTAAGGTAGTTATTTATCTCCTTTATGTACAATTTTTACTAAATGCCAGTTTTTGGTTACTTGTAATAGCTTCTATTTTCCATTTTTCCCCCCCATGGCATAAAAATAAGTGATTTCTAGGGGTAGTGTGGAAATGTTCCCAAGTCTGACAAAAGAACATTTTACAAATTCCTACAAAGAAAATAAGGGCAAATAGGATAAACTTTATTTTTACAGAGAAAAAATATGACCATATTATGGATTTGTCTTTTTTTACTCTGTAAGCTAGAATTTCCCTTCTGTATTAAGTAAGTATCACTCAAATTGCTAAGGGGGGAAAAAAATCTATGCCATCATTTTTTAAAGTTCAAATGTGTGTTTTTCAAGAGAAACATTTCTTACTCTGTCTCCTTTCTAAAATTTCATGGGATAAATATGAAATAGCTTATGAATTCGCCTTTTTGGTCCAGAGTGACTGGACAAAAGTCTGAATCATATCTAGATGTCAAGAAGAAGAATTTTTATGGAAATTTTCAGTGTAAATGAAACCCTGCCTACTTTGCCAAAACTAGTGGAGAGATGGGTAGAGTCAGTCATTGGTTATTCTAATCTCACAATGTCAAAAATCTGGGTTTGACTGATTCTCCCACCTTCCTACACAATATATTAATGTGATGTCTTGGTTTTCTGTAGACCCTGTTTTGATGTTAAAATACACATTTTTGTTTTGGTAAGAAATAAGAGCTATAATTTATTTTTCCAGTTACATCACATCTGGCTTTTTTTCTTTATATTTTTTACAACTCTAACTATTTTTAATTACCTTTTTCCCTTAGCCATAAAAATTAAAACAAAGATTGTTTTTATGACTTACAGTTGTGGCCAGTATCCACTCTCTGTGTCCTTAGGCCCATAAGTACTAATTTTAAGTGGCCAGTATGTAGAATTTTTAAGTGAAGGTGCTGTGGGTTTATTTTTTGGCAGTTTAAGCCCATGAATTGGCTAAGTTAGAAAACTTTCAGCAAGGTAATATAACCACTATAACAGAATACATGTATCTTTTTTTGAATCGGTGAAAATTCAGCCACCGATACAGTGACTTTCCCAGTCACACCTCTTAAACTATTACTGGCTGTGATGCATTCCTTTATTTCATGGAAATGTCCGAACTTTGAGGTAACTGCTGCCAGTTTCTGGGCTTGACAGTAATAGACAACCTTGTGTCCTACTCTCAGTCTCATTTATAAACAGTACTATCATAAAACACCACAATTTAGACAGAAAGACAGCAGTGATAGCATTTATCTAGTTGTCAGCAAATATAAATGTATAAAATTGAGATTGATGATTTAATGTATGCAACTTTAATAGCAGTAGATGATAATTTTCCTGTGTTGTTTCAAGTAAGTGACTCTTACTTGGGATCCACTGTAGTGTAATTCACAGTGTCACATAATATCATGCCCTTCAATATTGGTGAATGATGTAAACAGTATAAAGCTGGCAGTTTATAGTAGTCCGGTATCCTAGAAATACACTGAGCTTCATATCAGTTCGTTTTTAAAGCATACAGCATTGAGATTCAGACTGAGATCATAAACTCAGAGTGGAAACAAGTCCATCTTTATCACTAATTAGATTCTTAGTGGCTTAAATACTGTTCTATTTTTCATTGCAATTATTGCCTTTTCAAAGTACTCTACTGTAGTTATTCATATGAGATCAACAGGTGTTTATCACACATCTGCTGTGTGTCCAGCACTACTTAGTGCTGTGGTCTCTGCCTTTGAAGGTATCTTCTCCTGGAAATTAGCAGTGTTATTTTCACTTATAGGCAAACTTTAGCAACGGAGAGCTCATTCAAAAAATAGCATAACTTTATTAGTTTTAACTGAATATGCCACTGTAGAAGTGAAAGTAAAAAAACAACTGAGTTCTTTTTCAAAATTTAAGAAATATCTCAAAAGTTAGTCACTTAACATGGTGACACAAGTTGTGGTGGCGTAGCATGGAAGGAGGCAGAAGACCTGGGTTTTTGTCAAAGTTCTGCCATGTAGGTGTCACCTGTGTGGCCTTGAATAAGTCACTTATTCTGTCTGAATCTTTTATTTGTAGGTTTGGATTTAAATGCTTATTATGATAATCAGTTAAGGAAAACATATAGAGAAGCATTCCATAATCTAGTAACACTTAATACTTACAAAGAATTTATCATTATTTAAGTTACAATTTATAATTAATACATCTTTATATCCATTTTTAAATGAAAACTGCTGTTGTTCACAAAGGTTATTTTTAACTAAATCTATGCCCGGGGCATGCTCCTTAAAAATATGAAGAATCTCTAACAAGGTGCTGAATTGAAATCAGATTCTGTGCTTGAAGTAAAAGAAAAAGAAGTGAGATGGTTTATGGGTAAGAGAATGAGAATGTTTATCCTCATGTACATGAAGATGATTTAAAGTAATTGAAAGATGGCTTCGGGTTTTTCTCAAAGAGGAATTAGGAAAGTACTGCCCCATAGATGCAGCATGCCCTTCAGGTACTAGGTAAAGGTGAAGTAAGTCATGGAGTTAAAAATGCTTAGCAACTCCCCAGGGGACTAGGTAACAAGTAAGGTGGCTAGGAAGATCGGAATCCACACAGCCAGCTCTGGCTGGACACTGGCAGCTTGCCATATAGAAAAACCACTGTAGTCGTGTAGTAGGGGAGACTATGTGGGATGTCTTCCATAGATGAGGCTTTTCTCAAAAGATGCTCTTTGTGGCAGTAAGACTATAGAGTTGATGACATAACTGTATGACCCAGGATGCTGCTGCTAGAAGTTACTACCAGAAACTCATTTTTCTCGTTAAATATTAAGTTAATTGCTTCCCACATAAAGGGAAGCTGGAGCTCACCAGTCCTTTCCTGATGTCCCAGACTTTCATCAAAAGCAATCTTGAGAAGATTGAGCGTCAGACCTTTAGCCGAGAGTGTCACTGGTAGATAAAGGAGACAAATGAAACCCAGCGAGGCCAGTGATTTGCCTGGAGACACACAGTAGATCTGGAACCTCTGATACCTTGCCTCCTAAAACACCCCTGCTCTATGATGTGGTGCAGCCTGGTGGGTGAATGATGCTGGTGTGCTTACTTGAAGCCAGGTGGAAAGAAAGAGAAAGGATTAATTTACTCACTATATCGCTGTTGAATGCAATATAATCTTAATATTGTAGCCTTACTAGAAATCTTTCCCTTATTTTAATTGTTTTTCAGTGAACGTCATGCCATGAGTCAAATATTTGGTATCTCTTACATAAATTTTTAAAATGAAGATCAGTAGGAAGCAACTGCTTATTTCCAAAGCAATTAGCTTCCTGTGATTGACTGTGATTTTAGTCTTTTATAGTATTTTTCTTCTTCTTTAATGAAGAGGAAAAAGTCCTCATTTGCAATACTCTTAGATTCTCCCTTGCAACCTCAGGGCCCCTTCTAGTGTCCTAAGGTTTGTCTTAACAAGTATAACATTACTTTTTGTTTGTTTGTTTGGTTAACATCTTTTTGAAACTGTATTGAGTGATTCTTCCAACAAGTTTATCTGCTCTGCACTATTCACTAATAAACCCTGGCTACCACGTAGCCCTTGACCTCCAAGTAGTTTACCTATGCAAGACCTGTGACATTCTGAATTTACTTTTCTTTATTTCAGAAAGCAGTCATAAATAGGACATAATTACAAAGGTAAAATTTGTCTCTAACCAGTTTTATTTTGGCCATTTCCTTTTCAAGTCAGCTGTTTTCCCCTAAGATTTTTTACCAAAACAGTGATCATAAGTGCTGTAATATATAATATTCTGCAGGAATAAAATAACCCAGACATACTCTTATATTTCTTTGGTGTATTTAGGTTGGTAAAAATTACCAGCATTAAATGTAATATATAATAAGGAGTTGATTCCTTGCCTAGAATCATTTCTTCCCTCTGAGATTCATAAGTAACCTTTTTATTTTTACAAAGCTGCATATAACTTCCACATTATCGTCAGGGACCTGAGGTGTAACTTGCTAAGTGAACCCCAAGGTTATTTTATCTTGCAAAAGAAACCTAAACCAAACTAAGGGCCTTACAGTTTATGGTTAGACTGAATCAAAAGTATAACCTCAGTTTTTCCAAAAACAGCTTCTGACTGCAAAAGCAAGTCATGCAGTTGTTAGGTATGAAATAGCACTGATCGGGGAAGTGCGTGCGCATCTTCGCAGACTGCATTTCCTTCAGAAAAGACTTTTCTACTTTTAATAGAAATTAAGCCATAACAGTTTCATGCTGTGGAAAGAGGGTGAAAAGGTTCATTTTAAGAGATTATATAATATGAACTTTCACATTTACTGTGAAATGTCTAACTTTGCCAGTGCTTCAGCAAGTTTTTTTGCGGGGGGATGATGGGGGGTAGTATTGGTTTTAGGGGTTTTAAATCTGTGAAATTTGAAAAGAGGACAGTTGTTGGCTATGGTATTTACTAGTTCTGTAGTAATGTTTTGCTAGCCTGACTTTCCTTACTGATCTCTATGTCCACGGTCCAAGATGACTGTTGTTCTTGTCTGGGGTGTCTGCAAGTAGTGTCTTGTCTGTTTGTCTAGGCAGTCAGTGTGTGTGCACACGTGTGTCCTTTCTGTATGGAAGCCCACTGTGTGACCATGGAGTGGGGTGTGGCTGGGAAGTGGGGTGCTGAAGCTTGAAGAGCATTTTTTTTCCAATTCATAACAGTATTTCCCATCTTTTGCCTGCAGGCAGGGAAAGTGTACAGTATTTATTTTGTTTCTATTTTACTTTAAATTTGTAAGTCTTTAAGTAGCTTATATTATTATAGGGGAGGACAAGTGACTTGTTTAAAGTTGTATTTGCTATTCTTTCCAATTTCTGTATTTTAAAATATTGAAATTAAAATTGTATTACTTCTGTTTTGATTTTTTTAGCAGTGTATTTTTTGCTCATTTTGTTTGAAAGTATAAATGTTGAAAATTGTATAAAATGTGTCTTTGAAAGAAAAAGAATCCAAATTCTATATCCAGTTCTGACTTTCTTTTCCCTTTTCTGCTTATTGACTTGTGGGAAATTATTTGAGAATGTGAAAAACTTTTAAGCGTATGCTCCTCACCACTTCTTAAGACATCAGTGTGAAAAGACGTCTTCTTGTTTTATCAGCTGTATTCACTGAAAGAAAGGGAAGAAAAAATTAGCAAAAAAAGGCAGTTATGGGTTAGAAATGGATACAGTGCTCAGCGACGGACACTGCTGAGCACTCACTGCCCCCCTCGGGTCCCCCACAGACACTCACTCACCACCTGGGTACGCCAGGCTAGTGCCACAAAAGCAGGCAGCACCAAATCCTTGGGAGCTCGTGTGAGATGGCAAAGGCAAGGGGGCGAGCAGCCACAACGGCCTGGCTGGCTGCCAAAGGAAGGGGTGTGAGTGCAAGTTCCGTGAAGTAGACAAACTCAGTTGGGGACCCAGGGTCTGAGGGACAGGTCGGGGACGAGGGGGGTGCGAGGAGCCCCAAAGGCAGCACTTCTAGGGCAGGAGGGAAGCCCAGGAACGCGGTGTGAGCAGAGAGTCCACAGTAGAGGGAAGACTGTGCACAGTCATGGAGTCACAATATTTTATAAATAAGTTCTGGGTTTTCTGGCTCCCCTCTTGTAAATCCTTAAGTCTCAACTCCAACTGGGAGGGGTCATGAATGAGCAGGAGGAGAAGCAGATGGACTTGGGGCATCACCCCAGCTCTACTGAAAGAGACTCCTTGCTGCCTCCAGGCTGACGTCAGATTTGGGACCAGAGGACCAAAGGCTGCACTCTTCCTCCCCCAGTGTCTCCAGAATAGGGATGCCAGAGCATGTCCGCTCAGACACACCTCACACCGCTGCAGCTGCAGCCGCCCCGAAACAGCTTGCACCTCTTCCCTCTGCCTTCTTGCAGCTGATGGAAATCTCAGTTTGAGTAAAGTTTCCCCTTCTGTAGAAATCCATATACTGTTTATAAATCGGTGGACGTTTGTCCTTCCTAAAGCTCATGTGTTACAGTGAAGCAACAGCTGGACCTACTTTTCTGAGACTTTCAGCCCGATTCTTGTGTTTTCACCAAGCATGAGAAGGTATGAAATACATCACTGTGGGATGCTGACGATAAACACCAATTGTTTTAGAATAAGAATCAAATGCTGTGCTCCAGACAGGGTTTGAAACAAGCCCTCATTAGCTTGATTTTATTCCATGAGTACTTACTATGTACAAGGAGTAATTTTATTTCAATAGCCCAGTGAGGTAGGCTATTGTGAGAAATAAATTAAACTGTCCTGATCCTCCAGATGAAACCGATGCTCAAAGGGTAACATTTCCAGATTCACAGTAATAAAAACAGACTTTAATCAAGAGTCTGTCTGACTCTAAAGGCTGTTTCCTCTATTTTATTTATATACTTTTTTCTTTTGCGTGTCTCACTCTGTTGCCTAGGCTAGAATGCAGAGGGACAATCATGGCTCACTGCAGCCCTGGCCATCTGGGCTCTGGCGATTCTTCTGCCTCAGCCCTTTTTTTTTTTTTTTTTGAGTTGGAATCTCACCTCTGTCACCCAGACTGGAGTGCAGTGGCTGCTATCGGCCACTGCAGCCTTGACCTGCTAGGCTTCAGTGATCCTTCCACCTCATCCTTCTGAGTAGCCAGAATTACAGGCACACGCTACCACGCCCGGCTGATTTTTTAATTTATTGTAGAGATGAGGTCTCGCCAAGTTGCCCAGGCGGGTCTCGAACCCATGGGCTCAGGCAATCCACTCACCTCAGCCTCCCAAGGCGCAGGATTATAGGCTGAGGCACCGAGCCCGGGGAAAGTGTATTTTCTTATGGAAGTTTTGTGTCACTCAACTATCTTTTGAGTCTGTACTTTCCCAGGAGCTGGGCACACTGAAAAAACACTGGTCATTTTCTGCAGTTGAGCTCACCTTCCAGTGAAGAATGTAGGCTGTAAACAAGTGACATTAGAAGCGCTGCTAGAGCCGGACTCAGTGGCTCAGCCTATAATCCTGCGCTTTGGGAGGCTGAGGTGAGTGAATTGCCTGAGCCCGCGGGTTCGAGACCCGCCTGGGCAACTTGGCAAGACCTCATCTCTACAATAAATCAAAAAATTAGCCGGGCATGGTAGCACGCACCTGTAGTTCCAGCTACTTGGAAGGCTGAGGCAGAAGGATCGCCGGAGCCCAGCAGGTCGAGGCTGTGGTGGCCCGGAGCAGCCATTGCACTCCAGTCTAGGTGACAGAGTGAGACTCCAACTCAAAAAAAAAAAAGTGCTGCTAGAACACATGAATCAAATATGGATTTCCAAAGCCTCAGAGCTGGCATGTGAGGAGGAGCCACACCCAGTGCACCCCGTCCTCTGGACCTGGCCATAGTCCCATCGGGGCAGCACGGGAGCCTCATAGCAGCCTCGTGCAGCCAGGCTGCTCCCTCCTCTCCTGCTGCCATCTTCTGCCCCCCAGCTCTGTGGGTGGGTTGGCCCAGACAAGGAAGGAGAGAGATAAGTCCTGCTCTGCTCGCCATCTCTGACACGAAGGTATTGCCTTCCAGAGGCCTACAGAAGCACTCACTGTCCACATTCTCTTTATCCAGCTCTAGGCTGTCAGGCTTTTCCCACCTTCTGTTCCCAAAATACTTTTTTTTTTTTGAGTTGGTGTTTCACTCTGTAGCCCAGACTGCCTCCCGGCCACTGCAGCCTCGACCTGCTGGACTCCGGCAATCCTCCCGCCTCAACCTTCCAAGTAGATGGAACTACAGGCTCATGCTACCACGCCCGGCTAATTTTTGATTTACTGTAGAGATGAGGTCTCGCCAAGTTACCCAGGCGGGTCTCGAACCCGTGGGCTCAGGCAATCCACTTACCTCAAGCCTCCCAAAGCACAGGATTACAGGCTGAGCCACCAAGCCCGGCCCCCAAAATACTTTTATACTTTAAAAAATGCCAGCTGGGTGTAGTGGCTCACACTTGTAAATCCCAGCACTTTGGAAGGCCAGGATGAGAGGATCGCTTGAGGCCAGGAGACCAAGAACAGCCTAACAACACAGCAAGACCCTGTCTCCAAAAAAAAATTAGCTGGGTGTGGTGACATGTACCTGCTGTCCCAGCTGTTCAGGAGGCTGAGGCGAGAGGATTGCCTGAGCTCAAGGGGTCAAGACTATAGTGAGCCATGAGCATGTCACTGTACTCCAGCCAGGACAACAGAGTGAGACTCCATCTCAAATAAGTAAATAAATAAAAATGCGAATTCTGAAATTTTGTAAATTCTTATTTATTCTATGCCAGAGTTGGAAAAAGAAAAAAAAAAAAATCAAGGCTTAACAAGTGAAAATTGATACATGTAAATTGCCTGAGTTTTGGGGGTTTTTAAAGGCAAATATAATCTGGGACAAAAGATTTTGCAGTAAGAAACATTATTTGGTCCTCTCCTCTGCTCTAACTCTACAGGCTGCCCTACTGCCTGCCCTTCCTGGGTGCCCCAGAGAGTCCTGCAACTGTACATCGGTCACATGCCAAGGTCTCCAGTGTGTTTTTCTACCCAGGCCCTGATCTTTGCAAGTTTTGCTTGTACCCTTTTGGACCAGGCCAGCCTCATCTCAGCATCCTTTCCACATCCCATGGGGCACTAGGCCAGCTTCTGCTTGGGGGAGGTGAGGGTGGCTGGCCATTGTTCATCTATGTCACGAGTCAGAGGCTAGGAACTGTGCTCTTACACTGTTACCTCCAGCCTCTTCCATCTTCTCATGTGCAAGTTACCATCTAATTCCTCTTCCCTCACACTCTATTGTACGCTGATGGTGAGGAGAGTGCAAGCAGGACTTGTGTTTGTGACCATTGCCTTTGATCTTCATTCTAACCTGTTAAACCCCATAGTGTCCAAGGGCAAAGAGCACAGGCTGTAGCCAGTTCGATAGGATAAATCCTATCTCTGCCATTTACTGACTGGTCTTTGGCACGTTATCTAAATGTGCTGAGCTTCTGTCTTCTCTTGTGTGCCATACTTACTGTCCTCGCTAGGTTGCTGAAGGATAAAACAAATGAAAACTTATGCAGAGCACTCAGGACAGCACCTCACACAAGGGGACCCTGACTGTTAGATGCCAGAAGAGTCTCCTGTGACTGCGGTATCCTGCAGAGTGACATCCAAGTGTGACTGGTTGTAGCTAATGTACTTGTCCCAGTTACTGCCACAGTGTGAACAAGGTTAGACTAAAGGCAAGAGGCAGGGCATAGCAAGAGGGAAAAGAGGCCGGCTGCTGAAGGGGACAGAATACTATTGGAAGCCAGAGCCCAAGCACACGCCCTGGAATGTACAGAGATCCTGGGACATGGATCCTGGGTCCAAAAGGGTACTTAAGTTCCTGGAATAGTACACACCAGGTTGTTAACAGTAGCTGGTTACCTCTGCAGAAATGGGAGTAGATAAGGGAGAGAGCATTGAAGTTGGTAACTTTCACAAACTTTAGTTTTTTGTGTGTGATTAAAAAAGATAAACGTGTCCTACCTTGGAGTATGTGTTGGCTTCCCCAAGACACACTAATCACACCAACATACCTGTGCACAGCCCAGGATCCAGCTCTCCCGCTCTCAGGGTGCTGCACTGTCAGCCTGGCGGGATGGGCTGTGGCAGGGCTGATGAATGGAACAAGGTAAATCCCAGAAATCCTTGCTTACAGTGGGATGGAATATGAAGGGTGAAAGAGATAACAGGGTAAGATAAATGCAGAACAATGGGAAAAGCAGCTTTTACAATTTTAGAATTTTGTTTGTCAACTATTTTTTTTTTTAGTTGGAGTCTCACTTTGTTGCCCAGGCTGGAATGCAGTGGCATGCTCACAGCCACTGCAG